ACTGATGCTGTCCGAAGATCGCCTGAAGCACGCTATTTTTCTCTTTTCTTTCTTTCTTTTCAAGTCTTCTTGTACAAAATGACTAATGTAGAAGTGTTTTACATGATTGCATATGTATAAACTGTATCAGATTGCTTCCTGTCTCAGGGAGAGAGAAGAGAAAGAGAAAGTTTAGAACTCAAATTTTTTTTTAAAAGTTTTAAAAATTGTTTTAACTTGTAATTGGGGGGAAAAGTAAAATTTTTTTTTAAAAAAGGTATCATTACCTTGGAGAAAACAGTATTAAATAAGGTCCACAATTCCCAGAGCCACTGGTTTATAGGATGAAAATATATTTGCTCTGATGAAATAGGGAGATGTGCAGAATTTTATGGTTGGAAGGGACTCCACACGTGAGAGGAGTCCCTGCTATAAGCAGCAGACCCCACAGAAAGTAACCTTTTGCTTTTTGATCAAAGATCTCTGAGGAGAAGGAACCTGCTGCATTTTAAGGCCCCCATCATGCTTTTGGACAGCTCTAATTGTTGGAAAGTATTCTTCATTCAAGCCCAAATCTTCCTCTTTACAACGTCCCCCTGGCTCCTGGCTCTGCCCTCCACGGCCAAACAGAACCACTCTAATCCTTCCTTCAGTCCGACAGCTCTTCAGGTACCTGGATGTAGCTCACCTCGAGTGTCTGAGTCTTCTGTTCTCCACGCTAAACGTGACTAGTACTTTCAGTTCTCAGATGACGTGGACTTACTGCTCTCCACCTTCCTGTTTTCCCTGCTCTAGACAGTCTCCAATTTATCAGTGCCGTCCTGAAAACTGTGGTGCCCAGAACAGAACACAGTAACATTCAACATGAGGTCTGATGGGGGCAAAGAGAAACGGTGCCTGTAGGAGAAATGATTTATTATATTGCTCAGAAAAATTATACTGTTTAAATGCAACCCTATGTGATGAAAGGCTGTCAGCACCCAGAATGTCACCTGACCCCAGTAACTTTCTAGGAATGCTGGAGATGACTGCAGGGTATTTTGGGTCCACCCAAGCTTATGTTTTGGGTTCCCTTGTGGTTTGACTTCACCCAAATTTTGTTCAGTCTCCATCTCAGTCTACCTTGCTTTCAGGTTTCCCTGTCAGCAAAATTGCTTAACTCTGTGGTTCATGGGCAGGTACGCTTGTCTGAAACCTAAACTGGTAAACCTTCCGAAGCCTGGATGTAAACCTCCTCTCCAGCTCACTCTCTACTAAATAACCTAATGAATTTCTTTCTAACACTATTTCAGATTTTGGGGTTTGTTCTCGCAAACAACATGCCCCAGATCACATTGTCTCTATAAAGATGAAGACTGTTGTTGGTCATGGCACATTCTAACTGTGTAGCGATCACACCCTGGTAGATTCTATGAGGAGAAGGACTGTGTGTTGCTCTTTTTTTCTTTTTTTTCCGGGCAAGGCAAGTGAGATTAAGTGACTTGCTTAGGGTCACACAGCTAGTAAGTGTCAAGTGTCTGGTCTGATGCTCTTCTTTTTGTCCTCTAGAACAGGGCCACAGGTTCCCTGCCCCTGCTCTAGAACCACAGTCTCCCAAGATTTGAAAGGAACCTCACTGATCATCTTGTGTAATCCTAAGTCTCTAACAGTCCTCTGTAACAACAGGACAGGTGATCACAGCCTGGATGTTGTGGCCTTCGGTGTCAGGGAATGTGCTGTCCCCTAAGGTAGCCCCTTCTAGTAGGGCAGGTGGTGCCATGAAACAGCAGAGAGGGGCGTCTGCGTTCTTCAGTGCTTTTCTGACATCCGCTTTAACCACCTTCTTGCTCTAGTAGAAGATAACTCAAGATTCGAGCTGTATTCTGCTCAGAAAGGAGGATGCAGTAAAGAACTGGTTTGAGAGACGGGGCAGTAAGATAGTACAGTGTTTGGCACAGACCAGGCCCCCAGTATTTGTTGTTCTCAGTTGACAAAGATGGGAATAATTGCTGTAGCATCGCTTTTGGTGGAGCTGTCAACTGCCCTTCTAAGAAGGAATTTGGAATTACACCAAGAGAGTGACTGATATGTCCATACCATTTGACTCAGGGCAGGCATATACCCCGGTGAGGTCAAAGGTAGAAAGGTCTCAAATACATCACAATCTAGTAACACTTTTTCAAGCATCAAAGAACTGGAAACACATTCTGGTGCTCATTAGCTGGGAAATGGCTGAACAGGTTGTGGTATGTCGGTCTAGTGGTCCTGTAACATAGTAGTAATACTGCACTGTACAGTAGTGAATAGAAAGAAAACAGAAAAGTGGATGAGAATTGATGTGTATGTGAAATGACGCAGAATGAAGTGAACCAAACCAGTAAAACAATATACACTGCTAAAACAGTGTAAATGGCAGGAACCAGAAAAACGACCAAAAATAATTAACCTCAAATGCTGTGAAATTGTGATGACCAAGCTTGGCCCCAAAGAAGAGTTGAGGTTGCATCCTTCTTCTTTGTGAAGTGCAGGAGACTGCTTGTGGGACGTTGCATGTTATGTTGGATTTGGCTGATGGGTTAGGTGGTTTGTCTAGCAGGTTTTTAGAATGTTCTTTTATTATGAGGGAGAGGGTAAGTAAGGGACATATTCGGAAATGAAATTGATGTAAAAACGAGAAATTTTTTTTCTTTTAAAGTGGAAGAATTGTATTCTCAGACATATTTTAAAAAAGAATGCTCAGCATTTTGCAATCTGGGAGTAGACCAGAGATGACCTTTCAAGGTTCCTCTTTCCCCTTAAGTCAGCTAACATTCCTGCGTCTGGGATCTGTGGTCCTAAAACTTCTGAAGGCACAGTATCAGGGCACTCTTTGTTTGCAGCAAAGAAGGATCCAATTTAGTCAGGCCTCTCATCCTGTTCTCTGGATCTTGAGATTCCTCTGCCTTCTTCCTTTCTCCCATCCCTTCACCATCTTTTTTTGCTTCCTCCGGATTCACAAAGGAGCAGGTATTGGCCTTGTGCATCTGCAGGTCAAGCTACTGGTGTGACTTTCCGGATGCTAGACTGGGAAGAACAGGTAGCACACTGCATTTTATTTTGTTCGATCTTGGCTGGTTCCTAACATCTGCCAGCTCAAGGGAAATTGAATTTATGATGATAGAGGCCAATATGGGTAGTTTATAACTTAAAAAAGTTTAAGTGGTTATATGAAAAATAAATTTTTAAGAAATACCTATTGCTTTACCCCATGTGAAAACCAATGAGTAGTACCCTCTAATCTAGAAGAGCAAATGTGCTTAATGTGTATCTAAGTATGATAACTGAATCCTAGAATGATAGAGTGAAGGAATCATAGAAGTGATCTTACAGTTCAGTTCAGCAGCACAATGTTAATTATCAGTTCCTGAATTCTAAGTTGTACTGTGTTAAAATTATGGCAAGTAGCTATTTTTTGGTTTGGGTTTTTTTGGGGGGGTCCTTTTTTCTCTTAGAGAAAGACCTACTGAATTAGGTTTATTCAGGTGTCTATTTTCATTTGAGTAATAACTTTTTAATAAGAAGGAATATGTTTGGCACTAAAAATTACAAAGTAACATTATTTATGAGACTTGCCTCCTCCAACTAGATTTTAAATTTTACCAGGTCACACTCTTTGTTTTCTTAGTCAGTGACTCAGCTAATATTTATTAAGCATAAGAGGTCTGTACCAAGCAGTTGGGAATGTTCTAAAAAGTCCCTGCCCTCAAGGAGCTCATATTCCAATAAGGGAAGCAACACATACAAATAACTAGGTACACACAAGGTATGTACAGAGTGTAAGGAGCCTGGAGAGGTAGAAAGGGACCAGGTTGTGAAAAGCTTTAAATGCTGGAGAGCTTTAGGTTTGACCCTGGAAGTAGTAGCCACTTGAGTTTACTGAATGTGGGGGAGGGAGGTTGGGTGGAAGAGAGGGAAGGACGAAGGGCAAAATGGAAGGAGTTGACAGGAGGATGGGGTGTCAGATTTGGGAAATTGTAGGGAAAACTTTAGGAAAATTACTTTGGTAGCAGAATAGAGAGATGAGGCAGGAGACCAATTAGAGAAGGCCATCACAGTAGTCCAGGGGAAGGATGATGAGAGTCTGAATTAAGGTGGTAGGTGTGTGAGTAGGAAGAAGAGAGGATATACCACACATCGACAACCTTGGGTACTCTGACCCAATGACATTGGCCTTCTTGCTGTTCTGTGAACAAGACCCTCCATTTCCAGCTCCAGGCATTTTCTCAGCTGTCCACCATGTAATCCCCCTGGATTACACTCTCCCCTCATCTCCTCCTCCCAAGTTCTCTAACTTTCTTTGAGTCCCAGATAAAATTCCATCTTCTGCTGGAAGCCTTTCCCTATCCCTCTTAATTCTAGTGCCTTTCCTTTGTTAATTATTCCTGTTTAGCCTGTATATAGTTTGTACATATTTGTTTGCTTGTCTCTCCCATTAGATTGTGAGCTCCATGAGGGCAGAGACTGTTTTTTGCCTTCTTTTGACCCCACAGCCCTTAGCACAGTGCCTGGCACATAGTAGGCTTTTAATAAATGCTTATTGACTGAGATGTTGTAAAGGTCGAAATGACAAGGTTTGGAAATGAACTGAATGCGTATAGTGAGTGAGAGTGAGTAGTTAAAGACGATACTGAGCTTATGAGCCTGGGTGATGGGAAGATAATGTCATAGTATGTTCCATGATAATAGGAAAGTTAGGGAGGGGGGAGGATTTGGAGGAAGGAAGGAAGTTCTGCTCTCTAGACATGTTGAGTTTGAAATAGCTACAAGACATCCCCTTTGAGGTGTACAGAGGACACTTGGTGGTGTGCGACTGGAGCTCAGCAGAGAAACAAAGGCTGGGTATGTACATCTGGGAATCATGGGCGGGGGTTGTAGAAAGGAACTGGGGTGTTATTTTTTTTATTTTTATTTTTTTAATTTTTAAGCAGTTGGGGTTAAGTGACTTGCCCAGGGTCACACAGCTAGTAAGTGTCAAGTGTTTGGTCTGAGGCCGGATTTGAACTCAGGTCCTCCTGACTTCAGGGCTTGCGCTCTATCCGCTGCGCCACCTAGCTGCCCCCCTGAGGTGTTATATTACAGTGGAAAGATTGGCCTGGATGTTAGGAAGTCTGATTTCCAGTTCTGGTTCTACCAGTGGTGAGCAGTGTGATCTTGGACAAGCCTCTTAGCTTCTCTAAGGGTCTATAAAATGAGACTAAATGTGATCCTTCTGGTTCCTTCCACTTTTGAAGTTCTCAGTATTCTAGGAATTTGTGGAGTGGACTTTGTTTCTCAGTTATCCACTGTGACAGGCGGCTGTCTCGTCCTCCTAGGGAGCCGAGTGGTGAGAGCAGATAGCATCGAACAGCACTCTCTCCGAGCTTTGTCTCTGCCCAGGGGAGGTGAGCGTGGGCTGTCCTTTCTTTCCATCTTCATCACTTACACACACACCATTGTGGAGTCAAGAGAGACCTCACTCCTAGTTTTCCTCCTCCCTATCTGTCTCCTTTGCTGGGTCTTCCTCCAGATCAGCCCTCTAACTATTGTATCCCCCAGGGTTCTGTCCCGGACTTTCTTCCCTTCTCTCTCTCTGACACTTCATTTGGTAATCTCATCAGTTCCATGCATTTAATTACCATCTCCATGCTGGTGATTCTCAGATCTCTAGTCTGACCTCCTATCTCCCATCTCTAACTGCCTTTCATACATCTCAAACTCCATATGCAGCAAACATCTTAAACTCAAAACATCCAAAACGGAGCTCACCGTCTCCCCCACCACCTTCCCTCTTAAGATGGCAATACCAGCCTCCCAGTCCCTCAGGCTCACAACTTAGGAGTCATCCATCTCTCACCCCCTGCCCCCATATCCAAGCTGTTTTGAAGGCTTGTCATTTCTGCCTCTATAGCATCTCAAGAATATACTCCCCTGTCTCCTCTGACACAACCCCCACCCTGGTGCAGGCCCCCATCACCTCATGCCGGGAGTGCTAGTGGATCTGCCTGCCTCAAGTCTCTCCCTGCTCCAGTTCATCTTCTATTCAGCCACTAAAGTGATTTTTCTAAATTGAAAGTCCCATCATGTCACCCCGCCCCCCAACTCAGTGGCTCCTTGTGGCCTCCAGGGTTAGGTAGAAAGTACTCTATTTGGTATTCGAAGGCATTCATTACCTAGCCCAGGGTTGGGGAACCCCTTAATAAAAGGATTTATTTTGTGAAGTTTGGATTCAGGTCAAAGGGTCACACTTGAGGACCTAGAGGGCCGCATGTGGCCTCAAGGCTGCAGGTTCCCCACCCCTGACCTAGCCTCTTCTTACTTTTCCAGTCTTCTTACGCCTTTCTCATGTTGGTTGCTTAAATGCTTGTTAAATTGAAAGGGAAAAAAAAAACAACTCTAGCATTTCTGTAGCACTTAAAGATTTGCAAAGTGCTGTTCATCTCATTTCGTTCCCACAACAGCCCTGGGAGGACTCGTTTTTATAGATGAGATGAGGGAGGTTAGCTAACTTGCCCAGGGTCACACAGCAAATAAGTGTCTGAGGCTGTAATTAAAGTCAGATCTTCCTAACTCTAGAATACTCCACAAAGAGCACTCATTAGAACACCTTGTAAGAAATGCAAGTTTAGGCTCTGATTCTTATAATCTAGCCACTGCTTAGATTCTTAAAATCTAGCCATTGCTTACCCATGTTCAGACTCCTTAAGAGTCTGCCCAATATGACAATGTTGTAATAAACCTTCTAAAAAAACAAAAACAAAACAAAAAAGAAGAAACGCAAGTTTAAATTATTTTTTTGTATGTTTAAATTCTCCTTAACTGAATGGAATAAACTTAAAAGGTGAATTACCCCCCAACACCTACCAAAAACTGTCTGGGAGTTGAAAGTTCAGTGGTAAAGAGTATAAACTTTGGAAGATGAAAGCAACAAGAGAATATTTTAAAATCAGATGACATCTATTAATTTTGCCTCCATTGTCATCCTTTGTCTTTCATTTCAACTTCTTTTCTCCTTTTCCTATCACAGTATTTTGTCCAGCCTTGTTCCTGAGGGAGAAATTAAAGCTTGAAATTTATGCTTGCTAGAAAGCTCCCATGTTCAAGAGTGACATTGGTAAGCTCAATTCACAGTGATGTATGTGTTTGCTTTTTAGATGTCCTAATGGGTGTGAGCAAGTTAGATGTTTTTTACCGACGGCTCCTCCTCACAAAGCTTTTCATCAGAGGATGGGGAAGGCCTGAAGATCTGAAACGGTGAGCATTTTGCCCTGCATATTCAAACTAGAATTGCAGGTGTCTTTTTGCATGAAGTTATAGTCCAAGTAAATATTTAATTTAGATCACTTAGTCCTTTTACCTTCAGCTTGGCTGCAGAGATGATATTTTTGGCCAGAATAACTCCCTAGGATCATCTACTAAATGACATACGGGTTGTGATTTGTGGGGATGAGCACCCACACTTAATGAATGCTTTTATAGCAGGCACATACCACTTTGAGGTTTGTAAAAGCACTTTATATAGGTTATCTCATTTGATCCTAGGAGAGAGGTGCTGTTTATTATCCCTATTTTACACTTGAAGACACTGAAACAAAGGTCAAGTAACTTGACCAATGTCACATTTCAAGTAGTATATTATTAAAATAGTGTTGATAGTTGTGATTATCCTTCAAATCAAAAAGTTTCTTACTTATCTCTCCTAAATCTTAGTACAAAATTGTAAATTACGTTTATTAAAAAGCATTTAGTACTTAAAAATTAAGAATACTTATAGAACCATAAACTGGATTTTTTGGAATAGGTAAAAAAAGTCTTAGTAATTTAACATCTTGACCCAGTTTCAATTATTTTGTAATGCGATTATTTTTTTTATCATGGATGAAAAACTGAACTCATTTCTTTTTTCTTTTTTTCATAATAGACTTTTTGAATTCAGAAAGATAATTGGTAATCGAGAAAAATGCCAGAATATGGTTTCAAGAGATTATCCAGTGTACATTGACAAGGTATTCAAAATAAAATTATGTAGTTATCTAAATTTTAATGAAAGCATATGATATAGTTAAATTGAATGTTAAAACTGAATAATAAAAAATGAATAAACCTGCTTTTTATTTGCATATTAAACTCATTTGTTGATCAATCATTAGGCGTTTATTATGTAATACTTAGAGAATCCTAGAGAATCAACTAAAAAAGTAGTTAAAGTAATTAACAACTTTAGCAAAGTTGCAGGATAAAAAATAAACCCACATAAGTTATCAACATTTCTACATATTACCAACAAAGTCCAACAACAAGAAATAGAGAAATTCCATTTAAAGTAACCGGAGACAGTATAAAATACTTGGGAGTCTACCTGCCGAGACAAACCCAGGAACTGTATAAACATAATTACAAAATACTTTTCACACAAAGTCAGATTTAAACAGTTGGAAAGTTTGTAATTGTTCGTGGGTAGGCTGAAACAATATAATAAAAATGACAATTTTACCTAAATTAGTCTCTTATTCACTGCCATATTAATCAAACTACCGAAAAATTATTTGATAAAGCTAGAAAAAAATAACAAGATTCATCTGAAAGAACAAAAGGTCAAGAATGTCATGGGAGTCAGTGAAAAAATGTGAAGGAAGATGGCCTAGCTGTACGAATCTCAAAGGGGTAAATCATCAAAACAGTCTGCTGCTGACTAAGAAATAGGATAGTAGAAAATAGTATGGCAGAAATGAGGTATAGGGGTGGAGCCAAGATGGCAGAGTAAAAGCAGTAACTTGCTTGAGCTCTCCCCCACACCCCTCCAAATACCTGTAAAAAATGGCTCTATACAAATTCTAGAGCAGCAGAACCCACAAAAAAACAGAGTGAAACAAATTTCCAGCCCAAGACAACCTGAATAGTTGATCAGAAAGGTCTATTGCGCCAGGCTGGAAGAGGAGCATAGTTCATTGTGGGCGCGCAGGCAAAGACTAGGCCTCAGCGAACCTGGAGCAGGCCTCAGAGGACTGAATCATGGGCAGCTGTGGCGGTTTCTAGATTTCTCAATCCACAAATGCCAAAGACAATTTAGAAGGTCAGTAAGTGTGACCGTGGTGAGTGAGAAGCTTGGTCCCAGCACAGTCCCAGGGTGGCAGCTGCTTCCGGGGCTCTGAGCCCACAGACGCAGGGGGAATCAAGTGGCTGATCAGAGTGGGAATTGCAAGGATCTCTTTGCTGGTGCTGAGGCAGGATTGTCTTGCTTTGCCCGTGCTTGGATCTAGGTCACAGTTCTGGGTGGCAGTCTTGGGGCAAGGAGGAGTGCTGTTGTGGTGGAGCTTGTAGTGGCAGAGGAGAGGGAATCTTCCTCACAGTTCCAAGGCAGAAAAAAGTGCTTGTGGTCACTCACAGACTAGAGCACAGGCCAGGAAAGGAGTAAATACTTCGCCCTTGATCATACCACCTTGGAAGAACTGAAAATTTACAGGTCCCTAGAAGTATCTCTAAAAACAGCTGCACAGAACCCCCGAAGCCTGGGACAGCACCTTCTTCACACTGGAAGCAGACCCCTACCTTAACAAAGTTTAAAACTTAAGTAATTGTCTGGGAACATGAGCAAACTGTGCAAAAAAAGTCAGACCATAGAATCTTTCTTGGGTGACAAAGAAGATAAAAACATACAACCAGAAGAAGACAACAAAGTCAAAGCTCCTACATGCAAAGCCTCCAAGAAAAATATCAATCAGTCCCAGGCCATGGAAGAGTTCAAAAAGGATTTTGAGAAGCAAGTAAGAGAAGTAGAGGAAAAACTGGGAAGAGAAATAAGAGTGATGCAAGAAAATCATGAAAAACAAGTCAACAGCTTGTTAAAGGAGACCCAAAAAAATACTGAAGAAAATAACATCTTTAAAAGTAGCCTAGGGGCAGCTAAGTGGCGCACCAGCCCTGGAGCCGGGAGGACCTGAGTTCAGATCCGGCCTCAGACACACAACACTCACTAGCTGTGTGACCCTGGGCAAGTCACTTAACCCCAATTGCCTCATTAAAAAAAAAAAAAGTAGCCTAACCCAAATGGCAAAAGTGGTCCAAAAAGCCAGTGAGGAGAAGAATGCCTTAAAAAGCAGAATTAGCCAAATGGAAAAGGAGGTCCAAAAGCTCACTGAAGAAAATACTTCCTTAAAAATTAGAATGGAACAAATGGAAGTTAGTGACTTTATGAGAAATCAAGACAATATAAAACAAAACCAAAAGAATGAAAAAATAGAAGACAGTGTGAAATATCTCACTTGAAAAACAACTGACCTGGAAAATAGATCCAATTGGACTGTCTGAAAACCTTGATCAAAAAAAGAGCCTAGACATCATCTTTCAAGAAATTACCAAGGAAAACTGCCCTGATATTGTAGAACCAGAGGGTAAAATAGAAATGGAAAGAATCCACTGATCACCTCCTGAAAGAGATCCCCAAAGGAAAACTCCTAGGAATATTGTAGCCGAATTCCAGAGCTCCCAGGTCAAGGAGAAAATATTGCAAGCAGCCAGAAAAAAAAACTCAAATATTGTGGAAACATAATCAGGGTAACATAAGATTTAGCAGTCTCTACATTAAGGGACTGGGATATAATACTCTGGAGGTTAAAGGAGATAGAATTACAACCAAGAATCACCTACCCAGCAAAACTGAGTATAATCCTTCAGGGGGAAGAAATGGATGTTTCAGAGGACTTTCAAGCATTCTTGATGAAAAGACCAGAGTGGAATAGAAAATTTGACTTTCAAATACAAGACTCAAGTGAAACATGAAGAGGTAAACAGGAAAGAAAAATCATGAGGGACTTATTAAGGTTGAACTGTTTACATTCCTTCATGGAAAGATGATATTTGTAACTTACAAGACCTTTGTCAGTATTAGGGTAGTTGGAAGGGGAAAAAATGAATGGATAGATAGATCGATCGATCGAGGGCACAGGGTGAGTTGACGATGAAGGGGTGATATCTAAAAAATAAAATTTAGGGGTGAGAGAGGATTATACTGGGAGAAGGAGAAAGGGAGAGGTGGAATGGGGTAAATTGTCTCACATAAAATAGACAAGAAAAGGCTTTTACAGTGGAGGGGAAATGGGGGAATGTGAGAGGGAATGAGTAAATCTTATTTTCATTGGATTTGGCTTAAGGAGGGAATAACATACACACTCAATTGGGTATGGAAAGCTATCTTACCCTACAGAAAAATAGAGGGGAAGGAGATGATAGAGGGGAGGGCAGATACGGGGAGGGGGTAATCAGAAGCAAACACTTCTGAAGAGAGACAAGGTCAAAAAAGAGAATAGAATAAACGGGGGGGGTGGGATAGGATGAAGGGAAATATAGTTAGTTTTTCACAACATGACTACTATGAAAGTGTTTTGCATGACTACATATGTATAACCTGTATCGAGTTGCTTGCCTTCTCAATGAGGGTGGGTGGGGAGGGAGAAAGGGAGAAAATTGGGAATCCAAAGTTTTAAAAACAAATGTTAAAAATTGTTTTCACGTGCAACTGGGAAATAAGATGTACAGGCAGTAGGGTATAGAAATCTGTCCTGCACTATAGAAAAATAGAAGGGAGGGCAGATTAGGGGAAGGGGTATTTAGAATGCACACCCTCTTGGGGTCGGGGGGGAGGGATGAGATGTGGAGAAAATTTGGAACTCAAAATCTTATGGAAGTGAATGTTGAAAACTAAAAATAAATTAATTAATTTAAAAAATTAAAAAAGAAAAAAAGAGAAACCAGGTGTAGACCAGCATCTCACACCCTATACCAAGATAAAGTCAAAATGGGTACATGATTAACACATAAAGGGTGATACCATAAGCAAATTAGGGAGCATGGAATAGTTTACCTGCCAGACCTATGGATAAAAGAAGAATTTAAGATTAAACAAGAGATAGCATTATAAAAGTAAAATGGATAATTTTGATTATTTAAAGGGTTTTGCTCAAACAAAGCCAATGCAACAAAAATTAGAAGGAAAACAAAACGGTGGGGTGGGGGGGTTTGTAGCAAGCATCTCTGATACACCTTATTTCTCAGATTTGTAGAAAACTGAGTCAAATTTATAAGAATGCAAGTCATTTCCCAATTGAGAAATGGTCAAAGAATATGAACAGGCAGTTTTCAGACAAAGAAATCGAAGCTATATATAGTCATAAAAAAATGCTCTAAATCACTTTTGAGTAAAGAAACTCAAATTAAAACAACTCTGAGGTTCCACCTCAGACCTATCAGATTGGCTAGTATGACAGAAAAGTAAAATGATAAATGTTGGAGGGGAAGTGGGAAAGTTGAGAACTAATACACTTTAGGGGGTGTTGTGAACTGATCAACCATTCTGGAGAGCAATTTGGAACTGTACCCAGAGGGCAGTCAAACTGTGCATACCCTTTGATCCAGTGGTACTACCACTAGGTCTGTGTCCCAAAGAGTTTTGTTTTCTTTTTAAAAGAGAAAGGAACCTATTTGTATAAAAATGTTTGTGATTGCTCTTTTTTGGTGTCTCAGAATTGGAAATTGAGGGGATGCCCCTTAATGAGGGGAATGGCTGAACAAATTGTAGGGTACTTGGAGGGGGAAAATTATATGTATAGATAGATAGAGGGCACGGGGTGAGTTGAAGATGAAGGGGTAATATCTAAAAAAATAAAATATGATTGTAATGTGGAATATTTCTGTGCTGTAAGAAATGAGCAGCAAGATTTCAGAAAAATCTGAAAAGACTTAAATGAACTGATGCAGAGTGAAGTAAACAGAATCAGGAGAACACTGTTCGCAGTAACAGCAGTATTATACAATGAACAACTGTGAATAACTTCGCTATTCTCAGCTACACAGTGATCGAAGATGATCCCAAAGGACTCAAGATGAAAAATGCTGTCCACCTCCAGAAAAAGAACTGATGATGTCTTTATACAGACTGAAGCATACTTTCTTTTTCTTTCTTTCTCTCTTCCTTTCTTCTTTCCCTCCCTTCCTTCCTTCATTCTTTCCTTCCTTTTATGTTTTCTTTCACAAAATGACTAATAGGGAAATGTGTTTTATGTGATTGCACATGTATAATCTATATCAAGTTGCTTACTGTCTCAGGGAGAGGGGAAGGAAGGGAGGGATAGAATTTGGGACTCAAAACTTTAAAAAACAATGTTAAAAATTGTTTTTACGTGTAAGTGGGGGGGGGGGAACAAAAAATTTTCCAGGCACTGTGCTGTGATCTGGGGATACAGAGGCAAAAGAGAAAGAGATGCTGCCGGGGCAAGTAGGTGGCACAGTGGATAGAGCACTGGCCCTGGAGTCAGGAGGACCTGAGTTCAAATCCGGCCTCAGAACTTAGTAGCAGTGTGACCCTGGACAAGTCACTTAACCCCATTGCCTAGCCAAAAAAAAAAGAGAGAGAGAGAGAGAGAGAGAGATGCTTCCCTCGAGGAGCTCACATTATAAAGGGAGAGACAACATGAACAAGTACAAGTATATACAAAACACATCTAAGGAAATGGCTAGCAGATGTAGGGCTTCAGGGGGGGAGCCATGGGGGGAGGAGGAGGGAAGGCTGTACACAGGCACAACAAATTCACATACTGGAAAATGTCTGCCTCATCCTCCCTCCGTAAGTCTTTTAAATTTATTGTTTCTTTGCTAGGTTGTAGTCATCATATACTTTGTTCTCCAGGTTCCGCTCATTTCACTCTGCATCAGTTCATACAAGTTTTTGAACCCATCCTTTTCATCATTTCTTAGACCATTGTGGTCCTGCATCATGGTCCACTATATAGCCCTTGTCCAATTGATGGGCACCCTTTTGTTTGTTTTCTTTACTACAACAAAAAGTGAAGCTAAATATTCTTCTACATGTGGATTTTTACCCTTTTTTCTATTAAAGCTATTTGGGTTATGTGGCTACTATTGGAATTTCTGGGTCGAAGGAGTGCCGAGTTGAGTGACTTTGAGTGTGTTGCTTTGCAGAGGGGCTGTGCGAATTCAAGAGTTCCACCAGCAGAGCATTCATGTGCCTATCCTCCCCTCCAACAACTTTCATCTTCCTTTTTTTTAAAATCTTTGCTCATCTGATGGATGTGAGGTACAGAGTTATTGTAATTTTTATTTCTTTTTTAATTAGTGATTTGGAACATTTTTCATATGGTTGTTGATAGTTTGCTTTTTTTTTCTTTCTAGAACGTCCTGTTCGTCTCTTGTCCATTTATCTATTGTAGGATAGCTCTTTTTTTAGCAATCACTTCCATATGCTTTTGAGTTTAAAATTTTTCTCCCCCTCCCTCCCCACCTCCCTCCCCAAGACAGCACACAATCTGATACAGGCTATACATGTACATTCCTATTAAACATATTTTCACATTAGTGATGTTATAAGGAAGAATTAGAACCAATAAAAGGAAACACAAGAAAGAGGAAACAAAACACAACAGAAGAAAAAAAAGAGCAAATAGTATGCTTTGATTTGCATTCAGACTCCATAGTTCTTTCTCTAGATGTGGATAGTATTTTCCATCATGGGACCTTTAAAGATGTCTTAGATCCTTGCATTGCTGAGAAGGGCTAAGTCTATCAATGTTGGTCATCGCACAGCGTGGCTGTTACTGTGTACAACGTTCTCCTGGTTCTGCTCACTTCACTCAGCATTAGACCATACAAGTCTTTACAAGGTTTTCTGAAATCTGCCTGCTCATCATTTCTTATAGCACAATAGTATTCCATTACATTCATATACCACAACTTGTTCAGCCCTTCCCCAATTGATGGGCATCCTCTCAATTTCCATTTCTTTGGGAGATAGCTCTTGTTCTTAAGTATTTGAATCAGTTCTCTTTTTTTAGGGGCAGCTAGATGGCAAAGTGGATAGAGCACAGGGAGTCAGGAAAACCTGAGTTGAAATCCAGCCTCACACACTTACTAGCTGTATGACCCTGGCCAAGTCACTTAACCTCTGTTTGCCTGTTTCCTCATATGTAAAATGGGGATGATGTTAGCCCTTACCTCCAAGAGTTGTTGTGAAGATCAAAAATATGATAATTACAAAGTACTTAGCATAGCACTTGGTACGTAGTAAGTTCTATGTAAATATTAGCTATTATTCTTAATAATCTTGGATGTTAGATCCTTCTCATAGGACTTAGCTGAAACTTCTTGTTTCTAGTTAATTGTTTTCTTTTGGTTTTAGTTGTTTTAATTTTGGTTATGCAAAGATTTTCTATTTTATGTAATTGTAATTGTCCATGTTATCTCGTGTTGTCTTCTGAATCACTGGTTTGGTCAAGATGTCTTCTCCTATCCTCAGTTGGAAAGATAGCACCTTCCATTCTCCTAATTTTATTTATTTATGATGGAATCTCGGCCTGTGCATCCATTTGGAATTTGTTGAGTTTTGTGGTGTGAGATGTTGATCTAAATGTACCTTCTGACAGACTGCTTTCCAGTTTTTGTCTAGTAGTGAATCCGTCCTACAGTAGTTGTAGTCTTTGGGTATACTGAGCACTGTTTTCCTATGTTTGCTTTTAGATCTTGTGTTCCTAATCTGTTCACCTGATCAACTCTTCTGTTTTGTTTTTTTTTTTAGCCAATTCCAAATAGTTTTGATGATTACTGCTTTGTATTACACAATTTGAGAGTTGGTACTATTAGGCCCACTTATTTCCCATTTTTAAAAATTCTCATAAGATTCTTAACCTCTTGTTCCTCCCGATTAATTTTCTAGATTAATTGAGTAATTTGGGATGGCACCATATAAGATAAGGATTTGGTTGATATAGGGTACTTCCAAGTGGTTCTGAAAGTTAGGGGATAGTGGATGGGGCCAAAGGAAAAGACTGACACATTCAACCTGTATTGTTTTCTTATTATATTAATAACCAATTATTGGTAGGGTTTTTCCTCTTTTTATTTCCTATTCACAGCCCAGCCCTAGAGAAGGACAGGGCTGGCAGTGAGACATTCTCCTCAATCGTGGCCTGGAACCCACCCAACTGGGAGAGCTTATTTCTGATCAAAGGGTAAAGAGAATCTAATCTAGGTGAATTCTGGCCCAAGGTTGATGGGTGCCTGGAGCAGTAGAGATGTAACCCTTGTATTTATATGAGCCTGCTGTGTGCCCTAGAGTTGGAGGTTTTGGAGCATGGGCTGACTGCGTGGTTGTAGCTTTATCCCTTCTTATTGCCATGAAATAATCCAGATATTTCAAATAGTGTGCCAAGAAGTTGCTCTCCCCAAAAGCCTGAAAGAACCTAGTGAGCTGGATGGTATACCTCACTTTTCATCAAATCTGATAAAAGAGAATTGAGATTCATAACAGAGACATCTTACAAAAGGATTCACCATCCAGTTCCTTTTTTAACTTCCTAGCCCGTAGCTATCATCATGTTCCTTCTGTGTCTGCAGCCCTTTGCACAGCCATAGAGAGCTCCTGTTGAATTGACCTTTTTGCTAACTGGTTTCTTCTCTACAGCCAGCATGCACGTCTTAGCTTCTTTCTTTCTCTGACAGATTGAAGAAGAGACTGACTGTAAAATTCTTGAAGGACATTTTGTTTCTCCGATGGCTCATTATATTCCCGATCTCATGCCCATTGAATCTGTTATTGCCAGGTAAGAGATTTCATTCTGAAAAAGAATATCGAAGAAATAGCTCAGTGAAGCTCGGAGAAGATTTTCATTTTGTTCTGGTTTGAGGTAGTAAGAGATGTTAGGAGTCTTGTTACTTTTAAGTACATGCACTAACTTTGAATAGGCTAACATGTTTTCTGGTAGAAGTCCTTAAGAAAACTGCTTTCATGAATGGATGAGTAATTTGTAACTAGTATAACAATTGAAGTGAGTATTTCTAAAGTCCTGAAGTTAAAACATTTCATTCTCATTCCTCCTACAGTCCTTTTTCTTTATCATTAATTTGCTTGGTTATGTTTCTTACATGATGTAATTAGAAATATCTGCTTAACTTTGGCTGAATTATCGCTGTCTTAATGTAGTACATCAATGAGGTTTTACCGTATCAATGCTATTCAGTCATTTCAGTAGGGTCCAACTCTTCTAGACCCCATTTGGTGTTTTCTTCTCAGAGGTACTGGAGTGGTTTGCCATTTCCTTCTCCAACTCATTTTAGAGATGAGGACACCGAGTCAAATAGGATTAAGTGACTTGCCCAGGGTCACACAGTTACTAGCTGTCTGAGACTGGATTTGAACTCAGGAAGAGGAGTCTTCCTGACTGCAGGCCTGGTGTTCTATCCACAGCACTACCTAGCTGCCCCCACTGTTGCCATAGCAGGAGACAAATGTGCTGGAAAGCTGATGAGTAGCTAGAGAAAGCAAGGATGTCATTCCCCCCCCCCCCCCCCCCGCCCCGATTCAGAGGTTCTGCTGTTGCTGCTTCTGTCCTCTAGAATGGAAGCAGGCATGGGATGGGGTAGAAAGTAAGCTGGTGGTAGCATGAAGGGTTCCAGAAGCCACAGCTTTTCAGCCCGGTAGGATGTGATTGATGAGGATGATGCCTGATGATCTATCAAAGTTGGGGGTTTTCTGTTTTCTGCATCATCTTCATTCTACTACATATGAGATTTAGGGATTCTCTGGGCCTTATCTTTCCTCCATTTCCATCAATAATGAGAAACGTAACTGGCTCTTTGTCCCTCCAAGGTCTTAGTGATGGGAACTTTACAGAACACAAAGAAGAGGTAAAGGAGACATCTGTTTTCTTTCAGGTAGTGGCTATTTGGCATACATTTGAAAATTTGCATTTTATCAACTTGGAGTAACATACTCCTAAGTGCTCCCTTGTGGAATCTTTTGAAGTAGAGTGAAAGCAACCTCAGACCCAGGAGAGTGTGCAGAATTTGCCAAAGAATAGGTGTGAGATAAAAGTGGAAGCACACTTAAGACGTTCTACTTGTAGTTCATTAATATCTCAGCACATTTTTGTTCTCTTATGAGTTAGTAGAACAAAGCTCATTAAAATGTCATGCTTCACATATGAAATCAATATCAAATTGCTTGTCTTCTCATTGGGGGGGTGGGAGAGAGGGAGAGATTTTGGAACTCAAAATTTTAAAAAATAAATGTTAAAAATGTTTTTACATATAATTGGGAAATTTAACAAAGTAAAAATATTTTTAAGAATTTTAAATGTTATGGGTCACAAAAAAACTTGATTCAGTTGGGCTCATTATTTGAAATTAGTACAAAGTTGGACATGTTACTTTTTGCAGTATTTTGATTTTGGTATTATGTTTCTTGTAAAGTGTTTTATTTGCGCAGCTAGCAGAATGGGGTCTTTAACACTCCAACTTGTTCTAAATAAAATATTCTTATGTCTTTGAAAGTAGCAAAATGGGAAAACCATGTACTTGTGCATACTTTCTTACTACCTTTCTTTTGAGAAGCCTTATTTAATCTAGAGCTCATTTATTCCTCCTCACTATAAAGAGGAAGAAACGAAATTGTCCAGAAATTAGGTGACCTTCCCGAGGTCAAACTGCAACTTTATGTCAGCACTGTCATTATAGTCTGGCTTAGCCAGTAACCAATATTTATTTTCCTTATCTTCTGCAACTTCTTATTTCTTCCTCTACCTAGTTCATTGTATTGAAGTGATAATGGTGGTAAGAGAGGGATTGGCATAGAGAATAGTAATAAGTACTACAGACGTTTATAGGGTAAAAGGCATGCAACCTCACTGGTTGTTTATCATACAGAAAGGATAGTGCCTATATGACCCTGGGCAAATCACTTAACCCCAATTGCCTCATATGAAAAAAAGAAAAAGAAAAAACAGAAAGGATAGTGCCTCGAAGTTCTGGAAAGAAATACTGACTATGGGTTATAAGAAAAGGGAATGTATGAAAACAGAAGAGGTGGGTGGTATCAACTTTTCTCTTCCTATTTGATTTACATTTAAATTGTTGCTAATAACTCAGACTTACGGAGAGTTTTAAAGTTTGCAAAACTGAAAGACAGAACATTCCCTGAACTCAAGGAGCTTACTCTAATAGGATATCACGTGTAAACTGATGATGATAATTTGGGAAAGAGGGAGAAGTCCTAAACACTATAGAGATCCAGGAAGGCTTCCTCGAAGGAGTGACCCATGTGCTAAACTTTGAAGGAGGCTGAGGATCAAGGCAGAAATGACTGCATCTGTGGAATGAGCCTAATAAAGTTGGTGGAGCCCCATGGCAGAGGGCTTTAAAAGCTCAGCAGGAGTCTGGATTTAATCTTAGAGGCAAAAGGAAGCCACTGGGCCTTTTTGTGCAGTTAAGTGACTTGTTCAAACCTATGCTTTTCAGATATCCCTTTTTTATCTGTGTAGGTGATGGATTGGTTAAGAGCATGGTCTACGGCAAAGATACCAGTGAGGCTGTTAAGTAGTCTGCGCAAAAGGTGATAAACAGGGGGCAGCTAGGTGGCACAGTGGATAGAGCACTAGGCCTGGATTCAGGAGGACCTCAGACACTTGACACTTACTAGCTGTGTGACTGTGGGCAAGTCACCTCACCCCATTGCCTCGCAAAAAAGAAAAAAGAAAAGGTGATAAAGGCCTGAAGTGGAGCTGTGTTGAGGAGGAGACACAGTCGAAAAACACGTGGGTAGACTCAGCAAGACATGGCGTAAGGTTAGATATGAAGAGTGAGGGAGGAGGAGGAGTAAAGGTCATTTAAAGTTGCAGACCGGAATAACTGGAGGGGTAGTAATGTCCTCAACTGATAGAGAGAAATTAGGAAGGAAGATTTTGGAAGGATGGGTGAGTTCTGTTTTGGGCACAGTGAGTTTGAGGTGCACATGGATCATTCAGTTGGAGGTATGTGGCAGCCAGGTGGTTATTCAGGACTGGAGGTCAAGGGAGAGTCCAGGGCTGGCTATTTAGCTCCAGAGATGAGTAGAGATGATAGTTGACCACGTGGGAGTTGATGAGATCAAGACTGAAGAAAAGAAAAGGGCTTGAGACAGAGCTTTGCTGCCAAGGTGAGAAATAGAGACGAGGATCCAGCAAAGAGACTGAGAAGGCACGGCCAGACGCTGGGAGAGCCAGGAGAGCAGCATCACGGAATACCTGCGGGAAAGGTGGTCAGCGGTGTTCATTGTTGCAGTGAGGATTGGACAAAAGGCCTTTGAATTTGGCAGTTGTCAGGTCATTGGTATCTGGAAAGAGCAGTTTTATTTGAATCCCAAGATTAAAAGCCAGACTGCAAGGTGTTAAGAAGTGAATGGAAGGTGGAAAAGAGGCAGTGGATGTGAGAGGCAAAAAATTGGGCAGTAACACATTTACAGAGTTCCTATTTGATTAATTTATTTAATTCATCTCGATAGATATTTTTTATCCATATCTGCTTAGTGTCTTTTGAAACCAAAGAATGTAAAAGAGGGAAGACTAAGCTTTTTAAATCTCAAAAGACAAGCATCAATCCACTGTCAGCAGAGGGAAGTGCCAGAAGCCAACCAGGGGGTCATTGCTGCACCCTGGAGTTGGAGGTCTTTAATTTTAAGTTCTGGCCTAAATTAAGCAGGAAGTCATCCCTGGTGTTAGTGGTGGGGAGCCTTTGGTCACACCTAAGGAAACCGAGATTCAGCAGAGCCCTGTATTTCACAACAGTGATCCACCCAGTCAGTATTACAAAAACTAGTCCACCAGGGTGGGGCCAGGCCTTGAGTGCATGTCAGAGAAGGGAAGCTTGGAGGAGCAGGGCCTCTTTAAGCTGCAGAAGAGCTGACTCAGGGCAGGAGGTGAAACTCTCTGGTTTGTACTCAGTCTTGAAGGGCTGGGAATTAGACGTGTTCGGCTTGGTCCTCGGCAATGGATGGATGGTGCAGAGGGGCTGCCTCGGGCTTGGTGGCAGGGGAAGGGGGGAAGCAAAAGAAATAAAATATTAACCCCAAAAGTAAATGTGAAGAATAATGAATGGAAAAGCAGGAACCATAGTAAGCATTTGCTAAACACTGTGTGTCAGTCACTGCTGGGCACGCAGACTAATTGAAATAGTCTCTGTTTGAGGAGTTGACATTTAGCACTGTCAAACTGGTTGCACATATAAAAGAACATATCACATGAATATGTAAATACAGGACCTATTTTTGAAGAAGAAACTAGAGTGTCTGCAGGGATCAGGAGAGATTTCCTGACTTGAGCTGATTTGAAGGAAACAAGGGGTCCTAAGAAGTAGAGGTAAGGAAGGGGCGCGGTCCAGACCAAGGAGAAGGCCTGAGTTAAGGCCCAGAGCTGAGAGATGTTGTGTTATATATGGGAGACACCACGGAGGCGCTTTGGACCATACCACGTAGTGTTTGGGTGGGTGACTCACGTCGAACAGGGAGATTGGATGTAGGGAATGATAAGCAATGGAGTTTATGTTTGATTCTGGAGACAGTGGAGAATCCCTGGAATTTGCTGAAGTGGTGTGGCGATATAATGAGATCTGCAGTTAAGGAAACTGGGGAGCTGTGTGGAGGATAGAGTAAAGTGGGGAGAGACTTGAGTGAGTGTTTAGGAGACTGTTGAAGTAATTTAGGTGAGAAATGATGAGGACCTGAACTGGGGTGGGAAGAGGAGATGTGAGAGGTTGGGGAGGCAGAAATGGCAAGATCCGGCCACTGATTAGATACGTGCGGTGAGGGGAATGAGGAACCGAAGAGTGCGTGAGGACGGAAACCTGAATGGCTGGAAGGCTGTCAAGGGGTGCCCTTGACAGGATAAAGTTAATTCTCACTTATTATTTATAGGTGAGGAAGCTGACAGTGACAGTTGCCTAAAACCTAGGTCTCTTCAACTCTAAGGTCAATGTTCTTTGCGTTATTTTTGTTCTGTCACTTTTCACTCATGTTTGATTCTTTGTGACCCCATTTGGAGTTTTGTTGGCAAAGATACTGGAGTGGTTTGCCATTGCCTTCTCCAGCTCATTTTACAGATAAGGAAACTGAGATGAAGAGGGTTAAGTGACTTGCCCAGGGTCACACAGCTGAGGCCACATTTGAACTCACAAATATGAGTCTTCCTGACTCCAGGCCTGGCACTCTATCCCCTTTGCCACCCAGATGCTCTAGGTGGGCATAATCCCATGTTATAAGTTAGATACAACCTATGAATGTTTAATGAAAAATATATTTGCATGTTTTATGCTAGTAGGAAGGAAGAAAAGGGTTGATGAATAAAGCAAGAGAAGAAGACAAAGTAGACCAGGTCAGAGAAGAGGGTTGTAGGATAAACTGAGGAGGGAGAGATGACAATTGATAGAAAACATGAAAAAAGAGACTAACCAGGTATGGGGAACCTGAGGCCCTTAATAAGTCCCCTTAATAAAAGGATTTGTTCTTTAAAACTTGGACTCAGTCAAAAGGCTGCACCCAAGGACCTAGGAGGCCACATGTTCATTTAAGTATTGTGGAAACACAATCAGGATAACACAAGATTTAGCAGCTTCTACATTAAGGGACTGGAATATAATATTCCGGAGGGCAGAGGAGATAGGATTTTAACCAAGAATTACATACCCAGCAAAACTGAGTATAATCCTTCAGGGGGAAAAATAGTCATTCAGTGAAATGGGGGACTTTCAAGCATTCTTAATGAAAAGACCAGAGCTGAATAGAAAATCAGATTTTCAAATACAAGACTCAAGTGAAACATGAAGAGTTAAACAGGAAAGAGAAATCATAAGAGACTTATTAAAGTTGAACTGTTTACATTCCTACATGGAAAGATGATATTTGTAACTTATGAGACCTTTGTCAGTATTAGAATAGTTGGAGGGAAAAAAATTGTGTGTGTGTGTGTGTGTGTGTATATACGTATGTATATTATGCATATTATGTAGATGGATAAATAGATAGATGGCACAGGGTGTCGAAAATGAAGGACTGATATCTGGAGAATAAAATTAAGGGGTGAGAGAGGATTATACTGGGGGAAGGAGAAAGGGAGAGGTAGAATGGGGTAAATTATCTCACATAAAACAAACAAGAAAAGACTTTTACAGTGGAGGGGAAGTGGGGGAAGGTGAGAGGGAATGAGTGAATCTTATTCTCTTTGGATTTGGCTTAAGGAGGGAATAACATACACAATGGAGTATGGAAATCTGTCTTACCCTACAGGAAAATGGGGGGGGAGGGGACAAGAGAGCAGAGAGATGATAGAGGGGAGGGCAGATTGGGGGAGGGGGTAATCAGAAGCAAACACCTCTGAGAAGGGACAGGGTCAAAAGAGAGAATAGAAGAAATGGAAGGGTAGGATAGGATGAAGGGAAATATAGTTTTTCACAGCATGACTACTATGGAAGCATTTTACATGACTACATATGTATAACCTGAAAAAAAAGAAAAGGCCACATGTTCCCCACCCCTGGAACCAAGGGGAGGCATCTGATAAAGGACCATAATAATGTAGATGGTGACAATGTTGTTGCAATGAGGCAAATGTAGGGAAAACATCCTAACAATGAGAACTCTCCCAAGGGGAATGGGCTGCCCAAGCTGGTGGTAAACTATGCTTCCCTCCATCCTCCCCCAGCCCCAACCCCCCACCTCCAGGGGAGTCTTCAAGTAGAGCCTGGTTGTTCACATGTCAGGCAATGTTCATCATGATGACTGTCATTTGTAGGGACTGGATGGGCCTAATGCTTGAGCTAGAATTCTTGTTCAGGCTAGGATTTGACTTTTGCCTTTCTATCCCTAGTGCCAAGGACATGTTAAGTACTTTATAAATGTTTGCTGATTCATTGGTTGAAAGGAACTTTAGAAGACAAAATTGGAACTAGTCTAATGCCCTTGTTTTACAGATCAGGAAACTGAAACCCACGGTCATGCACATGTAGTAAGTGGCAGAGCTGAATTTGAACTCCAGTCTAATGGCTACAAATTTAGTTCTCTTATTGCTGTACCTGAGTGCTCTTTTAGCAAGCTGTTAATGGTTTTATGCCTTGTGTCAAACAGAAGTTCAGTTAACCACTTGAATGAGTGACATGTGCAGTGAGACGGATTCTTTCCAAGGGGGAAATGGGCTGCCTCATGAAAGGGGCTGTCTCTTCACGGGGTGCTTTCCAGTGGAGTCTGGAGAGTCATTGAGGGGATTCATTGTCAGCTATGGTTGGACTTCTGACATTTTGTGAAGTATCTGAGAATCCAAAATTTGGCCTTTTACACTTACAAACAAATGAATATTTTAAGATATTTCAGATGTTGTTTTCCTGGGAAGCATCTTGAGAATGTAACTATAAATTATCTTTTATATAGGTTTCAATTCATTGTACCTAAAGAATGGAACAATAAATACAGACCCGTGTGTATCCATCTTGCTGGAACGGGAGATCACGTAAGACAGTGCAACCATAAGCCCACAGTAATGTGCTAATTCACCCTACCTCATAAATGTCACGTTTTTGTTCTTACAAGGTTGTCATGTTTTCTTTCTCTAGCATTACTGGCGACGACGAACACTGATGGCCCGCCCAATGATCAAAGAAGCGTGTATGGCTTCCTTGTTGTTAGAAAACCCTTATTATATCCTTTTTCAATAACCAAGAATTTTTGTTTCTTCATAACTCTCTGATGGAAAGTGCATGATAACCTGCCCCTTTAAAACAAGTAAAGAGTTGTTTGTTTAGTTTTCAGTTCTGAAGAGGTTTTTTAAAGATTAATGGAAATTTTTTTTCTCCCTGAGTAAAAGCTCTTCTTTCATTCTTTTTTTTTTTTTTTTTACTTTTTGATGAGGCAGTTAGGGTTAAGTGACTTGCCCAAGGTCACACAGCTAGTAAGTGTCAAGTGTCTAAGGCTGGATTTGAACTCAGGTCCTTCTGACTCCAAGGCCGGAACTTCTTCTTTTATTCTTTAGTGATTCAGTAGAAACTTAATAATAGCTTGCAGTAGAACACATGCCACTTTTTATGTTTTAAATAAGTGAGATTAGTTTCTGCATGTACAGTGTCATAACGTTTTAATCACTCCTAAGTCTCTACCATGTTTCCTTCCTATTCAGTTTTTTTTTTCTTTTTTTTGTGATCAAGTCCCCAGTTCTTCTGGTTCTGCTTTCTGTTGTGTCATAAAAGCCCATCCACATTTCTGAAAGTGGTATTTTTGCCAAAAAAAAGTGCTTAAAACCTTTTTATTAGTGTACTTATCTTAACATTTTAAAAAATGCTTAACGGGCATTTTATAATCTTGGTGCATTTGTCATCAGCATTTGCTCCAAAGACTGTCTCGGTGAAGTTTGACCAACTGTTAACTTGAATAAAATTGAGTTGAGGAAATCCAGAGCTTCTGGATGGCAGTCAGGGAATAGTAATGCCCAAGTTGAAGTTAATTCTTGGTAGTTAGCGGATAAGCCACTGTGTTTAAGGGCCTATTTTTTTAGAGCACTGAGCGTATATAAATTCCATTTAAGCTTTTTCTTTGACATGCATTCTTAAATGGCTGTAGGAAACCCAAAGATCAAGTGTAAGTATAATGTTGGGTTTTGTTATTCTTTGTTTATTTTCATCAGTCATGAAGTCTGTCTTGCTACAGGATTGCGTGATGAAAAGCACTAGCAAATCATAGTTAGTGAGGAGCAGTAGAGTGGTTAAAATCCTTAAGCTTCATATGATAGAGGGGCAGAGAGACATTGCAATAAATTTTTTCACTTTATAAAATTAATTAAAGCAGTAACGTACCTTCCCAGTTAAAATGTTTTGCTTAAGATTATTTTGTGAATTTAAGGTTTCAATCTTTTTCTGGATTTCATTTTATCTGTAGTAAGAATTTATGAATGAATGAACGAATGAAAAAGCATTTCTTAAGAGGATACTTACTATATGCCAGGCACTGTGTCATGTGCTAGAAATACATATATAAGCACTCAAGTAACATATTTTTATGAGAGAGGACTGCATATGTAGGTAGTAGTTATGGTCAGAAAGCATTCTTTTGGACAAAGAAGTCATAGGAATGGGTGTGATTAATTATTCTTGTAGTGATGAATTTTAAGAGCAGATTTAAAGTCTTCATTATTAAAAGACAATGGGAAATGAACACATTAGAGGTTGAAGAATTTATGTTTTGTGGATCACAGTAGAGGATTTGAGACTTGAAACAATGTGAAAATGAAAATCAGTAAATTACTTGAAACATTTGTACACTGGAATCTTAACATGCTATAATCTAATTCACTAGAGTGGGTATATGGAATTTAGTATATTGTGAGTCTGCCAGAAAGACACTTTTTTATTGTCATAGAACCAAGGACGACTTCTCAACACTCCAGTGTATCTCCTTTTACAGGTTTGACTTTTAAAAGAAATCAGGTCAAAAAAGGACATGAGAGATAATTTAAACTGTAAGCTCTTGAGCCACTGCAGCCCGAGTTGTTTTGTGTGTCATGTTATTTTGTCCCTGTTCAAAATAAAACAGAAATTTAAGAACTTAGCTTTAGTCTGATTTCTCTTATTAGAAAGAATTAACATTTAAACACACACACACAAAAACCCATTTATAATATGACAATCCCTAATACATGTCCATGCTACCAGAACTGTTCTATAAGACAAGCTAATGTCAGAGTTGGGAATTGAACCCAGGTTTTTCTGGCTGCAAGGCTAGCTCTCTATGCTATACATGCTATAATAATAGCTAACATGTAGCACTTTAAGCCTGGCAGAGCCTTTTACATATATTATCTCATTTGATTAATTTAAGAAAATTTAATTAGTTAAATGCTATATTTAGAAATGTCATTTTGTTAAATAAGCCCATTCTTCTCTCTTTCTCTCTCTTTTTGAGAATAGAAGGTCAAGCTTGAAAAATGTGTCTGACCTCTTTGTGATGGGAGGGGCCCTTGTTCTAGAATCTGCAGCTCTCTTGCATTGGCTAGAGAGGGAGGGTTATGGACCTCTGGGGATGACTGGAATATCCATGGGAGGACATGTAAGCTTTTATGTTGTTTTCATTTGTTTCATTATGTTATGAACTTAATGGCCTTATTCAATTATTATGATAATTGATTAAGTAAAGCTAGGCTTAACTTTACACTAAGAAGTCCCTTTGAATTGCTGCTGCTTCTTATTCCTCAAAGAAAAATTGATATTAATTTACAATATAGACATTTATTGTATATGTAAGTTCAAATCCTTAGAGGGAAATTTACCCCATGTGCTAAAGTTTGGGAGTTGAAATTTTGTCTAGAGAAGTAAGTTTTAGCATCAGAAAAAGATCACCATCTATGTTGCTCAACTTAGTAAAAGACAATCTCTCTTTAAATGATTCTTGATACATGTACTGATTGTTTCTACAAAAATTGTTAAGTCATAAGGGAGCTATGATTTGCATGAGTAGAGGAAGTATCTACATTTGAGGTTATAATTTTTGAAAGTTGTCTTTAAAACATGATTAAATGCTTTTAGAGCTCTAAATTGTAGCGTCTAAGTGGGTATGTACCCGCTTAAGTCCATGACCACGTTTAAGTAGTGAAGTTATGTAGTTAAAGAAATGGAAAAGAATTCACACTGTTGGATTTTCTTCTAGGAGGCACTACATATACTATAGGGCATTAATAAGACACTGGCCTAGGAGTCAGGAAATCTCACTCTTCCACTGACTCACCCAACCCACCCAACTCTCGTGAGAAAGGGAGCCAGTCTGTGAGCTTCTTTGTTACCTTCATTTCTTCATCTGTAAAAGAGGATTCCTTAGTGATACTTGTTGCCCCTGTGTGACGGGGCTATTGCAGGACTCAAATGAGATAATACATGCAGAAATGCTTTGAACAAATAAAGCATTAGACAGCCGTGAAGACACCAAGCGCTTTCTCATTTTATGAAACTGTTTTGCCAGGAACACACTGAAAAAAATCAGCGAAGAAACTTAGAAGCGCGTGTGCCCATTTAAATTTAACACAGCATGAAACAACTTGAAAGTTACTTGCCCCCATTTTCTCTCTTCCCCTGCTATTCCTTTATATGGGGGGTGGGGAGGATTGAGGGGCGGGTGTCGTGGTTACAGCGATGCACATGGAGTCAGGAAGGCCTCCTTGGGGTGTACTTAGTGCTGTGGCTGTGTGATCTTCAGCAAGTCACTTAGTTTCTGTTTCATCATCTGTAAAATCGGGATACTAGCAGCACCTGATTTACAGACTTGTGGGGATCCAGTGAGATAACATGTGTGAAGCGCTAAATAAATTCTGGCTTTTATAATTACTACGTTTGAGGGATAGTGAAACTGTGCCGTCGAGCACATCCTGGTATCTTCGTCTCAGAGGTAGTTGTTGTTTGTCCTTCGGCCTCGAAGGGGACCGGTGACATCAGCAGCAAAGTCATCAGCCTCGCTGTCCTCCAGAGTCACTGGAGTCCAGTGGCGAGACATAGGTCAGGATGACTGGTGATGGCCCCCGATGTAGTGGGAGACCATGGCCGCCTTCTTAGTGGTAGTTAGTGTAATCTAGAATAGCAGGTCTCAGTAGTAAGAGTAATGCAGTATCTTAAAAATAACACAGCAGAACTCCTTCCCCAACCTCTGTGCAGTTGGAGCAAATCTATAGTAATGCCAAGATTATTTATTAACACAGTATGTAGTAATTATGAGGAAAACATCTCAATGGTTAGAAGGAGGAATATATATAACTTTTCTTTCTCCCAAAAAGGAAAACAAATTCTTATAACAAATATGCATAGTTGAGCAAAACAAGTTCATATGTTGGCCAAGTCCAAAAACAAAAAAGGCGTGTTTCATTCTGCATCTTGTGTCTATCACCCCTATGTCGAGAGGCAGGTAGTATGTTTCATTCTTGCTCTGAAATAGTTTTCAGTTTAATTTTAGTCACATCTGACTCTTTGTGACCCCATTTGGGATTTCCTTGGCAAAGATACTGGAGTGGTTTGCCATTTCCTTATCCAGCTCATTTCACAGATGAGGGGAGGTAAACAGAGTTAGGTGACTTGCCCAAGGTCACACAGCTAATAAGTTGTCAGAGACCAGATTTGAACTCGGGAAGATGAGTCTTTCTTGACTCCAGGCCCATTGCTTTATCCACTGCACCATCTAGCTACCCCTCTAAAATAGTAGGCTTGTTTAAAAAAAAGTTAAAGGTCAAAGAGTTTCATTTTTAACTAATGCTTATTTACCCAGTTGATACTCATGTCAGCAAATGAGAACTCATAGTATATTTTTTCACTGTCATGATGAAAACAAAATAAGTGTTTATTATTCAGGACCAAAGCTGTTTATGAGTATTGAAAGTATTAACTGTACTTAGAAGCAATTGAAAGTTATTATAAATCTCTTAAGTCATTGATAAATGTGACCAGTCGTTGGAGCATGCCGTGATAGTATTGTATACGATGATCTTTCGGTGTTTCTGGGGTTTTGTTTTTTTGTTGTTGTTGTTCTTTTGTTTTGTTTTATTTTGACAAAAAAAAAAACTTCTCTAGTTGGTTGCCTTATTTTTGCTTGTCCACAACTAAGACAGATGTTTGGAACTGAAGATGGTAGAACCACTTTGGACACTGATAAACTGAAAACAGTTTTCATGCTTATTGTACCATTTTGTTCCCTGTATAATGTTTGTTATTGTGTAGAAACAGTAGAATGTCAACAATTTTCCAGTCCTGGACTTAGGAAAAATCTAATATTGTGTATTTCTATCTCTGTATTTTGGGGCATGATTATGTTTAGAGGAACTAGAAAAATGACCTTTATCATAGAATTTTAGAACTCTCAGGGACTTGGGAATCACCTGAACTGAGGAAAATAGAGTGAGGTACTGCAATCACACAGTCCATGGCAGTGTAGGGGCTAGAAAAAGCCAGGTCTTACTTAGATTCTTAGTCCATAGGCCTTCTCATCATAGCTGAGATCTGTAAAGCTTATGTTAGCATGGTTTGAGATACCTTGAGACGGATTGTAAACTTTTTGGCCTCTTCTCTCACATCAGCTATTAAATAAGTAGTCTGGCAATTTTTGTCCTTATATAAATTATTTTCGTTGATTTGTAGTACTGCCTTGACGTGTTAGGTTAAAAGTGACCTTAAAAATCCGTTATCTGAATTGTAAATTCTGTGTCTCTTCATAGTAAGGTCAAAAATGAGTTGGAGGTGTTCCTTTAGAGCAGAAGTTCTTACTGCACGCAGTAACAGCAATCTTACGTGATGAAGGACTGTGAATGACTTAGCCGTCCTCAGCAATGTGGTGATTCAGGACAGTCCCAAAGGACTCGTGAAAAATGCTGTCCACCTCCAGAGAAAGAGTCTGCATGCAGACTGAAGCATACTGTTTTTCTCTTTCTTCTTTTTTCCCCTCTTCTTTCTTTCTTCCTTTCTTCTTGCACAAAATGACTAATATGGAAATGTTTTTCATGATTGCACATGTGTAGCTTATATCAGATTGTTTACTGTCTCAGGAATGGAGGAGGGAGGAATAGAATTTGGAACTCAAAACTTAAAAAAAACACACGTTATACATTGTTTTTACATGTCATTGGGGGAAATATTATTTTAAAAAAATAATAACAGACATTCTTAGCTTTTTTTGGGCCGCCTCTTTGGCAGTCTGGTGAAACCTGTGGTTCCTTCTCAGAATAATGTTTTTAAATTAAGCACAAAATAAGATATACGGGATTACCAAGGAAACAAATTATATTGAAATGTCTATCACTATTTTTTTTGAAAGTTCACAGACCCCAAATTAAAACTGCTTTAGACAGATTATGAACAGAACAACTCTTACATTGAAATTAGGAAGGAGAGAGTTATTAGAGCTAGAGGAATGTTTTACATAAGCTTTGCTATTTAAGTAATGTATACACCCTTATTTTAATGCCCTCCTTGCCCTGTACCTGGACTTTTTTTAAAAATTAAATTAATTTATTGTTAGATTTTAAGTTCTGAACTGTCTCCCTCTTTCCCCACTCTGCACTAGAGAAGGCCACCATCTGACACAGTTGAGTGTGTATGTAAAACCATACTATGCATACTTTTATTTATCAGTTCTTTCTCTGAAGGTGGATAGCATCTTCTTTCATAGACCCTTTGTAGTTGATTTGAGTTCTTTTGAGTATTCTTTCATTGATTTGTAGTCCTACCGCACAACATGACAGGTTAAAAGTGACCTTAAAAATCAGATAAAGTATAAATTCTGTGTCTCTTCATAGTAAGGTCACAAAGAGAATACTTACTCAGAATAACTTAGTCATTCAGTTATTCTTCTATCAATATTCCTGTTACTGTATGCAGTGCTCTCTTGGTTCTGCTTATTTTCACTTTTTGTCATTTCATGCAAGTCTTTTCATGTTTTTCTAAAATCAACCTGCTCATCGTTTCTTATAGCACAATAATATTCCATCACAATCATATACCACATCTTACTTAGCCATTCCCAAACTGATGGGCATCCACTCAAATTTCCAGTTCTTTGCCACCACAAAGAGAGCTGCTATAAATATTTTAGAGCGTACAGGTTCTTTTTTTCTTTTTGCCTAGTCACCTTGGGAAACAGACCTAATAGTGGTATTGGTGGGTCAAAGTTCTGTAACTCTTTGGCATAATTCCAGATTGCACTCCAAAATGGTTAGATTAGTTCCCAGTTCCACTAACAGTGTATGTATCCCAATTTTTCCACATCTCCAACATTTGTCATTTTCTACTTCTGTTATTTTAAGTAATCTTGTAAGTGTGAGATATACCTGTACTTCAAAAAAATTTTTTTTTTTGCTGATGCTTTTTAAACATAACTGTCACTTCTTAATAACTATTCCTCTTCTCTCCAAATAAAACCCTCCCTTGTAACAAATTATTATAATCAGGCAAGATAATTTAATATATTGGCCAAATCTGGAAATATTGAACCTGTAGTCCACCACCTCTCTACTGAGAAGCAGGAAGAATACTTTTGCATTAAGTCCTTGGAACCATGATCCATCATTTAGACTATTTCAGTAGACTACTAAAGGTCTCCCCCTACCTCTTTCCATTCCAATTTATGTACTTTTGACAGTCATCTTTCTACAAGAGACCTCTTTCTCTGCTTTCCTTTCTCTGCTTAGAAATATTCAGTGATTCTGTTATGTCCTGAATTAAGCCCTTCCACTTCAGCTTGGTGTTTTCATTCTGACCTCTAATCTACCTTTCTCACTTCATTGAGAGGATCAGATAAGATACAGTCTGTGAAAGGTATTGAGCAGGCTCTCCGGTACTGTGACAGCCTTCAAGAACGCAGGGTGAACTCCACATCTTGAAGAGACGTTTAGAAGTATAGATGCCTAGGGATAGGGACTGTACCTAGGATGTCCTGGTATGGAGAAAGAACTCTCAGATGGGGAACCTGTCTTTACCAATGCAAGTTGACACCTTCTCTGCAACTTGTGGCTTTAGACCATTGCCTAGACCACTGAGAGGCCAAGTGACTTGCCCTGGGTCATGTAGCCAGTATGGGTCAGTAGCAACACTTGAACCTAAGTCCTCTTGGCTCTGACATCTGCTGGTCTCTAGCCAAATTGTCTTTCAAACAATTACATCTAATTGAAATGTCTTCTCTACCTGTCCTTCCTTCCCTGCTCTCCCTTCACTTCTCGAAACTTTAGTCACCCTCCAGCCCCAGTCTGAGTGCTACCTTCATGAAGGACCTTTGCTTCCTGTCCTTTGAACTCCAGTAACACTCTTGTACTTCTTTCTGCTTCCTACTTTGTATTATTGGTGTAAGTAATTTATCCCTTCCTCAAAGTCGCAATATCTTTTTGGGCTATTATTTTTATTTTTACATCCCCCCACAGCAGATAACACAGTAATGTACAATTTGTAGACACTCATTAAATAAGCGAATGGATCAATGAACAAAGGAGCCGAGTAAATAATTGTTGAAAATTTTGTGGGAGAATATAGTGCTAAAAGTGAACTATGAAAATGAATAGTCTTTCTTGGAAATAGTTTCTTTTCTTTTTTCATTGCAGGATCTCCTATTTAAAGCATTATATAACTGTGTAATTCTTATTACAGATGGCTTCATTAGCTGTAACCAACTGGCCTAAACCTTTGCCACTAATTCCATGTCTTTCTTGGTCAACTGCTTCTGGAGTCTTTACTACGGTAATGTTACTTCATTTAACATTTAGTCAACTTTAAATATGTAGAAATGATAATGAATGAAGTGGTCTTTATGTATAAGTGTTAATTTTGGTTGTTCTTTTAGGGCGTGCTAAGTAAATCAGTCAATTGGAGGGAATTGGAGAAACAGTACTACACACAGACAGTTTATGAAGAAGAGATTTTTCACATGCTTGAATATTGTGGGGTAAGTGTATTCAGATTTCTTTGTTAGAGGGCGCTCATTAGAGTAAATACAGATTTCTTTGTAGGATGGTTCACTGTTCTTACTGTCTAGAAATGTGAAAAATACCACTAACATTGAACTCTATGATTTTTTAAAGGTGAGGTAGGAGAAAGTGATGGACTTGTATTCCTTAGATACTTGATGTTTAAGGACAAATTCAGGGGTCAGGTTTGTTTTTTTTCCTTAAATTATTGTTTTGGGGGGCCGCTAGGTGGCGCAGTGAATAGAGCAATGGCTCTGAAGTCAGGAGGACCTGAGTTCAAATCCAGCCTCAGACCAAACACGTGACACATACTAGCTGTGTGACCTTGGGCAAGTCACTTAACCCCGATTGCCTCACTAAAAATATAAAAAAAAAATAATAAATTACTATTTTGAAAACACTCCTATTAAATCTCTTTAATAAAAATCAGTACATTTCATTTTCTCTTCTCAGAGAGTAAACTTTCTTCACTTTTGACCTAGTCAAATTTGGAAATCCTTAATGGGAAAATGCAAGTTGATTTTTACTTCTGATAGAATCACTCAACCAGTAATCATTTATCAGGCATCTACTATGGAGATTTTATATAGAGAGTTTTTTATTTAGATGTCAGCTCTACATATTATCAGAGTGGCAGTATAATAGCAGTAACCCTAAATTTGTTTTGAATTTTGACTTGGTTACTATTTATGTGACCTTGAGTTCACACAAGTAAGGCAAGTCTCTCGACCTCTCTGGACCCCACATCAGGTGTATGAGGAAGTTCAAAGAGATATTCACCAAGGTCCCTTCCAACTCTCAATCCTATGATCCCACCTAAAGATAATATATAAGCAAAGAGTGAAGAGAGTGGGAGGTGGGGAGGAAGGACAAAATCCTCTTTAGTAAGAAATTGTCTCTTGCTAATGTCTTCCCTGTCTTTCAAAAATAAGAAGCATGCCAGTTTTTTAAAACAAGAAGTGCAACTTCGAAAATGCATTAAAAAAATTTTTTTTGATTGTGGGTAGCAAGTTTTTTTACCTCCTTTCTTGGACCCCTAACTACCCTACTGCACAGTTTTGTTATTTTGTTGTAAACCTAGATCTTTTGCCATCTGGAAGATAACATTCCAAACTCTCTGTTCCTTTATCCTGGTGACTGCTAGATCTTGTATGATCCTGACTTTAGCTCCTTTGTACTTGAATTCTTTCTTTCTGGCTGTTTGTGTATTTTGTCATTGACCTGGAAGTTTACTGCTTTTGGTACCAAATGCAGTGTTTAGGCAGCTTTAGATGTATAGTATATATTAGTACAGTGCTAGGTACTTTGGACTATATAACAATAGTGTTTGGTCATTTTCAGCTGTGTCTGACTCTTCATGACTTCGTTTGGGGTTATCTTGGCAAAGATACTGGAGTGGTTTGCCATTTCCTTCTCCAGCTCATTTTACAGATGAGGAAACTGAGGTAAAGAGGATTAAGTGACTTGCCCAGCGTCACACAGCTAGCAGGTATCTGAGGCTGGAGCCCAGTGCTCTATCTACTGCACCATGTAGCTGCCTGTATAAATATAATATGTACATTATTGATTTTTCATTGGTCTTCAGATTTCTAAATTGTGACTGTTACAGGTTTTACTTATGTCAGTCTGCAATTTTGATGACATTTATATGTTAGACTGAAGCCTTCTAACTTAGCAGGTCATCTTCCAGAGTTTCTGTGGCTGGAAAATTCGTCACCCTGATGCTGACTCTTCTCTGGCTTTAGCTGGCCTGCCATAGAGAGCTGACACAGACTTTTGTCACTGACCCTGAACTTGGCAGGACCCGCTGTAGCTCATTTTCTGCTGACAGAGACACAGTTAGGTCTTGGAGCAGGACTTTAGGCGAGGTTTTAGAAATGGGAAAAGGCACTCTCTGATGGCAGCTGCCACCTGAGAACATATCTTGGTTTGTGACTGTAGGGTGATAGGTAAATTAATCTCATTAACTAATATCTTTGTGAAGATCTTTTTGGATCTTTTGGAAATCTCTGTAATAACCTTTTACTCACCAGGAAGCATCACATTTTCTCACCTGGATTGTGAAAGTAACTTTATATTTGATCCTTCTGTGTTTCTTCTTACTGCCCCCACCTAGATCTTACGAAAAAATGATCCACAAATGCCTGTACTCTCACTGCAGCAAAGGCAGATCTCTTACTGACTTGCCATATACATGTTTACTTCTCTCATAAATCGATTGTGAGTCAGCAGGGAGAAGTGGGACTGTTGCAATGAAGTTTCTAATTTGTGCTGTTCAGGTATCTGTGGATCCCTATTTAATAACATAGTGTAAATGTCCTACTTCAGTCGTGGACATTTTTATAAGTAGGACAAAAATATTGTATTAACAGTGAGGAAGCATATTAAGTCATCCTTTTCTTTAAAGAAAAAAGTATTAAGGAATATTTTCTCATTTTCCTTGCCCTACCATCTTTGGTCTCGCCTGAAAGAGAAAAAACTTTATCAATATTCAGTCAGATTCCCAGAAATATACTATTCTGAGATCCTTGGTTTCTTCCTGATCGAAGTCCTAATCACTTTCTAAAGAGGACCTCAATTTTGTCTTTGTTTCTAAACATTATAAAATTGTAAGTAGCAATGACTTGAGTCAGAGAAAATGCCAGACTCCACCCTTTCATTCTCCCTCTCTTAGGATCAAAGCTTGGAGATAATGAGTAGATTATTTATTTTTTTTAGAGACATTGGCTGAAGAAACACAGAATATTGTGTTTTTCTTCCACAATAGAATATTCTAAAAAATATTATAAATTTCCTTGGAATACATTTAGTTTAAAAATTACAGAGAATTTTAAGATAGCTGTCAGACGTGGTTGACATGGTAACTTAGTATACATTTTTAATTCTAAATACAGAATTTCTTCTTTTCCACTACTATAAATGAATATTATTTTCACTTAGTGTCCTGGAAACTTACCATAACATAGAAGGTAATAAAAGGGAATTGACTTAAATTCCCACTCACATCAACAGGCGTCTATTAAGCCCTTGCTCTGTGCCAGCACTGGGCCTTAGAAAACCTTCCCTGCTCTTAAGGAGTTATTAGTCCACTGCGGGAGGGAACATGCGAAGACCATAGAGGTATACAGGATCAATTGAGGATAATCACCAGAAAGAAGACACTAGCTTTGAGGGAGATTGGGAAAAGCTTTCTTTGAGAAGGTGGGATTTTAGCTGAAATTTGAAGGAAGTCAGGGTGGGCAGGAGATGGGGATGAAGGAGGTGAGAGCTTGGCATGGGGGCAGCCGGTGGAAATGCTAGAAGTAGGGAGATGGAGCGGTTTGTGCAAGGAACAGTGGTTAGGTACTAATTTCTCAGGGACAGGCTTGTATGTCAGGTTTTTAAAAATGCTGTCATTGACAATGTCTGTTAAACAAAGAATGAGCTATATACATTCCTCTTGTTGGGGTATAACCTAACTGGGATTTAACAGCAGATCCTTAGACCCCAATGCTTAGGCCTTTTCTCCTCCACCACACCCAGAGCCGGTACTGAGCAGGTGGGCAAGGACAGCAATGTGGCGGAACCACTGTAATGTCTCAACCCCAAAACTATGGCTCTGTCTTCCAATCTAATAGCCTACAAAAGAACTTGTAATGGAAACCCATGAATTTTGATGAACTGAAATGGGAATTTAGTTGTACCCAGCTTTTTTTTTTTTTTAGACCTGTCTCTGTTGCATTTGACTCTTACTAGTATAGCATATGAGTAACTCTTAGAGAGTATTAGAGAGGTTAGGTCATATAAAGTCAGCTAAGGCATATTGGGCTTATTTTTTAGTTTGAAAAACAGTTGAATCCCAGTCAAAAGGTTTGGAATGTAACTTTGTTATGAGATAGCTGGTGGCTCAGCAGATACAAGTGCTGGGCCTGGTGTCACAAAGAACAGAGTTCAAATCCCATCTCAGGCACTTACTAGCTGTGTGACCCAAGGCAAGTCACTTGACCTCTGTTTTCCTCAGTTTCCCCCAATTATAAAATGGGGATGATAATAGTACCTCCTCCCAGAGTTGTTGTGTAAATCAAATAAGGATATTTTATTGTATAAATGCTTTTATTGTTATTCTCATCATCATCATCATTAATGTTTTTCTAGTAATTTACGATGGGGAAAATTTTTTAAGTTTAAAAATACTTCAAGAGATGTGTGATCTTACTGATTCATAAGTTGCCACTAATGGTGCAGGTTGCAACCTATCTGTGCCTACCTTTTCAGTGCATCTCTTCTTGTCCAAATCCTCCCAAAAGGTCACCGCAGGGGATCTAGTCACCATGCCTTTGTAGCCATTATTGCTGTAATTTTAGTTCCCTCTTTCATGCTGAAAATAAAAATATTTTCAAACTTTGATATTTCCGAATCCATAAGTATTAATCCTACTTGAAAAACTTACTTCGTTTAAAGAAAACTGTTGGCAACTCTTCCAAGATATTTCAACTTGTAACAGTGCCTTATCTTGAGAGCAATGTACAGAAGCATTTGTGGTAGAAATAGCCATATAACCTAGGATGCTTTTGGGTTTAGGAGGATGACTGAGGTGTTTCTGTCTTTGTTTTTTGAAACTCCAGCAGTAAGCATGGCGTGAGTGAATGCAGCTTTTTTTGACTAAAAATATCAATCCTTGTTCTCAGTGGCGTCATTTGGAAGTTGTTCCATTTTAATTTAATTCTTTTAGCCTCGTATCTTTTTTTAAGCACAATTGATAAATAAGACATTTTAATAAAGGTATCTTCCTTAAGAATATGTTCTGATTTCTCCTATTTTCTCTCCCTCTCTCCACCTTTCAACTCTTCAGACAGATTCTTTTAAAATGGGACAAGACTTTGTGAAACATTTCCCTAAAAGTGTGGACAACCTGGCCAATTTTGATCTGACTCCCAGAACTTTGAACCTAGACATGGGTGAATCGTTATGCATGAAATCTGCTCAGTGTCATAACACTGGTAAAGCCTCTCTCAATGCCACATCAGAAGGCCTTGTGTTGGAAGATGTCTCTAAGATTCAGTCCCTGAGTCAAACGCTGTCCTCCAGGAAGAGCAGTGATGGCAGCTCTGTAAGTCGATCAGACCACCAATTCAATGAAGAAAAAAGAAGGAGCACTTTACAGAAGGAATCTTTAATGTTTATGAAAGGCGTCATGGACGAATGTACTCATGTAGCAAATTTCTCAGGTACTTATTTTCTCTTGAAATTTGGGTTTTTGCCAGTGTGCAACTATATATATATATAATATGTATTTTCTTATTTTTTTTTTTTGGCAAGTCAGTGGAATGAAGTGACTTACCCAGGGTCACAGAGCTAGTAAGTGTCAAGTGTCTGAGGCCAGATTTGAACACAGGTCCTCCTGAATCCAAGGCCGGAGCTCTATCCACTACACCACCTAGCTGCCCTGTGTACTATATATTTTAAAGGCTATAGCATACATCAAATGTCCTATACTTTAGATTAATCAGTTGAGGAAATATTTGCTTATGAAAATATCAGAATCTGGTGAGCATATATGTAATAACACATTAAATGTTATTAAAGGGGGGATAGTGGGGGAAGATGAAACTCTTCAAGTATTTGAAAGGCCTTCCTGAGGAAGCAGGATTCAGCTTGTTGCTGCTTTAAATATTTGGTGTATGTTTAGGGCCTTTATTTTTATCATTTACCTCCTTGGAGATGATGATGATGATGTTGAAGAAGAAGAAAAACAAGAAAATGGCTTTCTATAGGGCTTTAAAGTTTGCAAAGTACTGTGCGTATCTCATTAGTTCCTTACAACATCTCTGGGAGGTAGATTATTCTCTCCATTTTACAGATGGAGAAACTGAGGCAGAGGTGGAGGGGCTGGCCCAGGATTACGCCTTTAAGCTGGATTCAGATTTGGGTTTTCCTAAATCCAAGTCCAGGCTGTGGCTGCCATGCTCCTTAGAAGCCTCTTTGCACCTAGCCCAGGGGCATTTCAGGGTCCCGGGGTATAGACAGCTGAGTCACATTCTTCACATAATTCCAAATCATAGTCTAGAATGGGGTGGACCAGCCCCTCCAGCATTTGTGTGCACTTCTCTTTACACAACCCTTTCAGGGTTGACTTTTTGTCCTCTCTGCTAGTTAACCGGTGAAACTTCAGGGTTTGTTTTGATTCATGTTTACATTCTTCCTGTTAGTGGTCTGGAGCATTTTTTTTTATGCCATTGTGAAAAGTTTGCAAGTCTTCTTGTGGAAACTGTTGATTTATCTCATTTGACTACTTTTCTGTTGGGGAATGACTTTCTGTTAGTTGCCCGTATATCTGACTCTTAACATAGCTATTTGAAGCAAAGATTTTTTTTCCCAGTTTGGTTGTCTCCCTTCCCATTTTCTTTGCATTGATTTGATTCATGAAGAGTTTTTCAGTTTCATGTAATTAAAATTATCGTCTTATTGTTTGAATTTGAACCAGTTTCATAACAATAGGATATTTTAATTTTTCATACTATTCACATAGTATTAAATTCTTATGTTCACACTCTTGAGTAAACATACTTTTGAACTGTTTATATCCTGTACATAGTTCCAGTCGATCCAAGTCTGATTATAGTGGTTCAAGCCAAAGAAGATGCCTATATTCCACGAACAGGAGTTCGAAGCCTTCAAGAAATTTGGCCTGGATGTGAAATTCGATACCTAGAAGGGGGACATATTAGTGCTTACCTTTTCAAACAAGGACTCTTCAGGTGAGGTGCTTAGTCTAAATAGGTTTTTTCCTTTCTTAACCAATATAAATAAGAACACATTCGTTTTTATTATGACTTTCTAGGGCCTACTCCTTCCCTTTCTTTTTTGTCCCTCCTTTTACCTTCGTTTTCCTTTCTCTCTTGGAAGATGAGGTTTCTATTGGCAAATCTCTGGGACCTTGGCTTCAGACTTATTTTTTCCCCAACATTTTTTCAGTGATTTAAATGAAGACATAAAATATCATACTTGTCAATATTGCAAATCGAAGCATGTCTATGGAAATAAAAATACATTGGATGAAAAAATTAGTATTTATTATGTGCATATCAGGCAGTGTGCTAAGTGCTAGAGATTGAGAGAGAAGCAAAAATATAGGACCCTGCCCTTAAGTAGCTCACGCTCTACTGGCAAGATGATCTGTAGAGGCCTGTGGGCACAGAGACTAGACCAGAGGGAAGAGAGAGGACAGGGAAACCAGAAGGTCAAGGGGAGGAGGGCCGTCATCAGCCATGGACAAGTCTCTGTGGGAGGAGACAGACTGTCATGTTGCAGGAGCGTCAGGGGTGGCTATGCTTGCATACCCCAATCACAGAGTTATTGCAGGGAACACGGGGAGACAAGCCTGGAGAGCCAGGGAGGGGTCGGGAAATCCAGTGCATTTGGCTTTGGAAGCACTGAGGAGCTGCTGGTGACAAGGTCAGACCTGCACTTTAGGACAGTGACTTTGCTGGCTGATTAGAACAGGGAGAGCAAGCTGAAGACTGTTTTAGAAGTATTATCAGGAGGTGATGGGGGTCTGCAGCAGCAGGGTGGCAGCTCAGTGAGGAGGGTGAAGGGGCATGTATAAGAGGGATTCTGTAAAGCAGAAATAACAAGGCTCAAGCACAGTTAGATAAATAGAATTGAGTGCAAGGGAGGTGTCAAGGGGATCCAAAGTTCAATGGATGATGCCTTTAACAGTAATAGAAATAGGAAGGTGGCAGGTTTGGAGGATAAGGATAATGATTCTGTTTTAGACATACAGAGTTTGAGACACTTACAGGACATTCAGTTCAAGATGTCCAAAAGGCTAGTGGTCCTTGTCTCTGGCTGAGGAGTTATGTAGATCCGAGAATCATCTGCATAGAGATGACTGGAGCCATGGAGGAGGTGAAGCGCTAAGTGAAATAGCCTCAAGGAGGCAGAGAGCAGGACCCAGGAAAGAGCCTTGGGGGCAGCCACAGTTAGGGGGCATGACCTGGAGGAAGAGCCAGCCAAGGAGACTGAGAGGAGAAGCAGAAGGGGGTGATTGGTGGTGTCAGAGACAGGGGTAAGGATGGAGAAGAAAGCACCAGATTTGGCAGTTAAGGAATAAGGAGTCTTTGCGCTTTAGTTGCGTGAGGTCAGAAGACACATTGCAGTGAGAGGAAGCACCTCGTGTAGAAAATCCCTCATTGCTCTGCTGGAGTTATATTACTTTATTTTTAATTTTAAATATTGCAAGTGGTGTTGTGTATTTTTGTGATTCCAGAGGCCTGGGATCTGTGAATACAGGTCTCAAATAAGAAGTTGTTGTTTTTGTTGCACTTTTGGCCCAGGGATTTTCTTGGCAAAGATAATGGAGTGGTTTGCCATTTCCTTCTCCACTCCCCCATTTTACAGATGAGGAACTGAGGCAAATAGGGGTTGAGTGACTTGCCCAGTCACTTGCCCCAGGGTTACCCACTGCCTACAAACAGGTCTGGTAAAGCCTGTAAACCCCTTCTCAGAATCACGTTTATAAATACCTAAAATAAAATGCCTGAGAATTCAAAGGAAATAAACTACAGTTAAATTAAGATATGGTTATCAAAATATTTGAAGATAAAAGTTTACCCCAGGTCTAAACAGTTATATTGATAGCAAGTATAAGAAGGATTTAAGATGTTCCATTGTGTACCGTGGACCTGGCTCGTGGTAGATGCTTTTAATAAATGCTTGTTGGTTGATTGAGGTGAAGCGCCTGCGGAAGGACAAACAGACAGAAAACCACCAGGAGAGAAGAGTCATGGAAGCCCAGAGGAGATCCTGGCTGTTGGGGGCTTGGGGAGGAGGAGGGTTAAAGAATGAAAGCTTCACAGATGCCTGAAAGGAAGAAGGAATGAAAAGGCATCCTTCATAACCTTGGAAAGACCAGTGTCAGGAGGGTGGGGTCTGAGCCAGGTTATAACAGATGGAGAGGAAGTGAAGGTATATGGCAAGTGCAGATAATTCATTCTAGAAGCATGGAACCAAAAGGGAAGAGAGAGAGGTGTCAGGGAGAAGTAAGGGGATTCTTGAGAAGGGGGTGGACATGTTCGTAGGCAGTGGGTGACCCTGGGGGGGATAGGAAGGAGAGAAGGCACAGTGACCAATGGGCTATGCTCCTGGAGGTGACAAGAGTGGATAGAATCAGGACAGATCGATGGGTAGAAAAAAACGTGATGGCCAGGTCGTGTGCAGGATCATCCTCATCCTCCAGGAGCTTATGTTCTCCTGGGAGAGAGGGTCCACAAAGGGAAGCAGGAAAGCAGCCTGTGGGGCAGGAGGGGGAAGGGTCTTTGCTGATGGGGCAGAAGCTGCGGGTGAAGAGAATCCCCAGAGTGCAGTTGGGAGCAAGAAGCATCCCTGGGACCCTTCCTGAGACAGTGGCTGGGCTGGGAAGCTGGCACTAATCAGGTGGGGTTGGCCTTGGCCAGAAGTCTTCCTCAGTAATGGAAGGAGAAAAGGAATGAAGCCACGTGCCCTGGCATGGCTCCCTGCCCATCCTAGCTCCGTCTCCCTCCATTTGTGTTGTCCTTCTCTACTAGAATGCAAGCTTTCTCATTTCTGTATCTCTGTGGCCAGGGTTTGGCACATATGTGCTTGTTCATTCATTGATGTGGTTGGTGACTTTAGAGTTGTGTTCTAATTTGCTATCACGTTTTTAAAATCTCGATTTCCATCCTTGCACCGATAGATGGCAGACTTGTCCACTTGTAAACTGCTAAGCTGTAGGAGTAAACTTGGCACAAAGTAGAATGTTTATATGACATTTAGACAGGCAACCTGGAGTGAACAGAACAGTGATTTAGAAAGCAGCAGAACATGAAGGCGCTGTGGACCCACTTCAGAAAGACTGAGTAATGAAGAGTACATTGTATTATGTTTAATAGGAATGTATATGTATAGCCTAGATCAGATTGCCCGCCATCTTGGGGAGAGAGGGGGAGAAAAATTTAAAACTCAAAAGCTTAGGGAAGTGCTTGTTGATAAACCAAAATAAATTAATTAGTAAAAAAACAGTGCATTGTATGGATTGTTGTGGTTTTGCCTAAACTTTATTGGTTTTTGTACTCCTTTTTTAAAAGTCATAATGATATTTTTGGATATTCACAGCGTAATGAATTCTATAGAATTCTATGGCAAATGCATAATTGAAGTGTAATGAGAGATTTTACAGTGCATGTTAAGAAGAGTGAAAGCAGGCATTCAGTTGCCAGGCACTGGGCATATAAGGAGAATAATGAAACAGCCCCTAGCTTAAGGAGTTTACGTTCTAGAGAATGAGAATCTCTGGAGAAGGGAAGGACATGTAACACACTGGCCCTGGAACGCAGGGCTACGTCTTACGCAGACTGGAATAAAGACACAAGTATGCTTGCAAGGGGTATAGAGAGGCAACTTACGGCCAGTGCATTGCCTCTGTGTTCTCGCTACAGTGTGTCAGTGAGGTCCTTTTCTGAGAGGATGGGGTAAGCAGTGGGATGGAAAAGGAATTAGGTTAACATTTGTGTTTCTAAACAAATTTTTTTTTTCTTATAAAGCTATCAACAAAAACAAGTAGTCAAATAAACATATACTCAGGAAACAAATCTTTTTTTGTTCCTTTTTTTTTTTCCCAGTTTTAAGTTCTTTCCCTCCCTTTGAAAAGGCAAGAAATACAAAACCCATTACCACTATGAAGGCATGCAAAACAAATTTCCACATTAGCCATGTTCTAAGAGACAGAGAGGAAAAAAAGTTTCAGTATGCACTCTGAGTACCTCAGTTCTCTATCTTGAGGTGGACAGCATGCTCTATGAGTCCTTTGGAATTGTAGTGGGTCATTGTGTTGGTCAGAGTGACCTTGTACAGTTGATTATCTTTACAATATTGATGTTACTACGTGAATTGTTCTCCTGATTCTGCTCATTTTACCTGGCATTAGTGTATAAAAATCTTCTGTGTTTCTCTGAAGCCATCCCTTTCATCTTTCTTATAGCACAGTAGTATTCCATCATGTTTATATACCATAGCTTTAGCATCGTACACATGTATACACATATGTAAATGTGTGTTTTCAATGTGTGTATATATGTGCCACAAGTATTTAAACATGTTTTTAATAGAATTCTACAAAATTGAAATAATTTCCTAATCAAATACTTTATTAAGCTAGTATAGATAATTCGACCTTTTGGTTTTAGGTTGCTGGCAATACGGATTTCTAGTGACCCAGAGAGCTGAATATTTTTTAATGTATGTAATCAACTTTGATCACTTTGTAGAGGACACATAACCATCACGATCATGATTATCACTTGGGCACAGCCTCAAAAGAGTGTCCAAGATAAAATGACGGTAGAAGGAATTCACCTCCTCATGACTTAACATACAGTGTTGCTGCTCCATAATCTGTTGTGATTGTATTTTTTTTTTTCCCTTCGTTTTCTTGCAATAGTAGTGACTCATTTCCAGGGTTCTGCCCCTGCACTCATCCTGGTTCTGGTGTGACTCATTAACTAGGAGGGAGTTCTGGGCTGATGCACCTTGCCTTATTTGGGAACCAGTTGAGCCTCTTTGTTTATAAACATAGTGCTTGTGCAGCTTAATTTTATGTTGATTGCTTGTTTTTTCATTTACTGTATTTTAGGCAAGCCATCTATGATGCATTTGAACGTTTTCTCCGTAAATATGCTTATTGAGCATAACTGGGATGATTACCATGTTTACGGTTCTTATACCGGGCGTTTTCATCCAGTGTTCTTTTGTGAAGAACAGGCAGACTACAGCATCTGGAAATCATGGACTTGGGCAGCAGTGCAGTTTTGAAGATCTACCAGCTACATGTTTTTAATGTATTTGAATCATATTTTTAACAAGAAACTTGCTAAAATGTAAATGAATACAGATAGCTTTCTTTAATGTTTATATGAGTTTAGTTCTAATTAAAAGAATTAATTCATAGAACATTCAATGACAATATAAAAAGAACCAATGAAATTAAATTTCTCAATTTAATACTCTGGCTTATATGGTATGAATTTTCAAAAACATTTGGATTCACTCTTTGTTCTATGTTGAAGTTAGTAATTTAGGATTGTTAACTATACCTGTGATTTGTCGCAAACATCTTCAAATTCCATAAGAAACTGATTCAGTTAATATTGCTTTAATAATCAGAAACTTATGCCAGTGGGGGGGGGGCAGATAATGTCTTTTCATGCTTCAAGATTTTTCTTTTGCAGGTGTCACCCTGATAATAGTAATGATTATTAAACCTTTCCCTAATCCAGAACTTAGGAAGATAATAGGAAATTTGGCACAGTCTATGTATTTTATGCCAAAGTGCTATGTCATCAGTATTTTCTTTTCCTAAGTGATTTTTTAGTTATTGCCAAATATTTTAACACACTTTATTTAAAAACACCCTCACATAAATTTGAGTGGTATATAATTACTGAAATGTTGTACTTGTTTTCTATTTGTTCACTGCCTGTAATTTAAGCCAAGACCTATAGTTTCACATTGTGACATTATTTTGTAATTCCAACTTTTAATGGTCCTGTGAGGTTTTGTTTTGTTGACTTCTTTTACAGAAAATGCCAAATTAGGTAATTTGTAAAGTTCATAGTTTGAATTTTAGTGTAGTTTTATGATCAGTGTGATCAAATTAGTAACTTTTTAAGTTGGAGAAGAAATGGCTTCTTAATGTGCATAGTTTTGGTGGTAGTTTCTTTTTTTTACTTATCTTAACAAACATAAAGGTAGAATAGAGAAGCTTCCAAGAAATATTGTTTAGTTTCAAGGATATTTAGGAAATGTACCAATTCCTAGGATTGGCTCTGTGTTGAAATATACCTTGAGCAGTCCTGAATATAAATTATTTTAAACAGGAGTTCTCAGCCTTACAAGAATATTTGAATGACTATGTGCCTTTACAATTTAAAAATATTTTCATTTTGAATTCTGCAAAATGCCAGTAAACAAGTATCATAAAATTACTTGGAAAACTTAATTACCAGTGAGTTTTTAGAGAGAGAGAAAAAACTGAAGAAGTTTGCCCTACTACAGAGATGTGTTAATTATAGTTTTTCCACAGAAATATCTTTAGGAGATAATGTGATACTTGCTATCCAGTGGTTAGCATTATTATCCCATTTTCATATGTAGTGTTATTCAGTAATTGAAATCTTTTGGAAGATTGGCTTTAGTGAAATGTGAATTCAAGGTTTTTTATGCAATAGCTTTTTAAAATGTATACTTGTTGATTGGTAAAATGATTGTGCTTCATTTCCTCATTTAATTCACTAAAGATATAAAATTTATTCCCTAGCCATTAAATTTTTTTTTCCTGTGCTCACTTGTTTCTCTGTTAATGGATTTTGCATGAAAAATAAAATTGCAGATTTTTATTATTTACATGAAAGGAAGTCTAACAGATTTTCCATGTAATTAAATAATCTCTGAAAAAAAGTTCTTTCCAGGAGCTATAAACACATTACTTTTTTAGAGCAGTGTTAATGAGATATTTTTTATTTGAAAAATATTAAACTGAAGCTATAAGTGCAGAGAAACCGATGTTAACCTTTGTGTATTACTTCACCAAGGAAGTCCCACCTTGTCTTTTTCTGCTACCATTTTATGCCATTTTATCCTTGTCTGCCATGATGAAGATCATCTTTGTAAATATTATAGTACTAGAAATTCACACTTAGACCTTTGGTAAAGAAAAGGTTTCTAAATTTCATGATTAGTGAATAGACCATTTTAATGTATACAGTTTTCAGTTATTTCTTATTCATGTAATTTTAAAATGCGGTGCTTTCTTATTTGGGGTATGGAATTAATGCTGTAATTTTCAAATTGATACGATTTTCCTAACTGTTTATACTGTATAATAAAAGCCTATTTAAAAATGTGGATTTGTTTCTTCATTGGCGTTCTACTTACAAAAATCAAGTATTACATTGAACCCTTAGTAAAGGGGGTAGTAATCAAAGAGACTCCATCTAGGAAAACTGGAAGTGCCCCTACAGTCTCTCTTGCCACCATTACCACAACTACCACCCCTGAAAAACAACTTTCTCCTGTGTACCTATGCTAGGGCTAGAAGTTTTAGCAGTACCCATGTTCATGGTAGTATAGGTACTGAGAAAACAATGAGATTTAGAAATATGGACATATCTCCCTCTCTTGCTTTCAAGGCAGTTAAAATTTGGTCTTTTGAAGAAAAAAGGTTTAGGAAGCTTTTAGAACTAGGTAATAAAGAAGTAGGCTGAGTTCACGGAAGCCGCTGAGTCAAGGTTTGAGCAACTAAACTGTTAAGGAGAGCAGTTTCAACAAGTCAGGTCAATAAGCAGTTATGTGCCAAGTACCGTGCTAATAAACACTCAGGATTCAAAGGAAGGCCACAAAACAAAACAACCTCTGCTCTCAAGAGCGATCAAGTACAAACCAGAGGCAGGATGAGTTGGAGGTAATCTCCGGGAAGGCAGTAACATTTAGGAGAACCAGAAAGGCTTCTTGCAGAAGGTGGGACTTAGCTGAGATGTGGAAACTAGGAAACGGGAGGAGGGACAGGGTTCCAGGGATGGGCCACTGCCAGTGAGTTGGAAGGTGGAGAGCATGGCAGAGGTCAGTGTCATTGACTTGTAGACCATGTGCAAAGTAGTAAGTTGTAAAAAGAGCCAAAGAGGATTTTATATTTGATCCTGGGCATAATTTCAAGCCACTGGTGTTTATTGAATTGGGGAGAGGGGGGAGTGTGACATGGCCAAAAGAGTGCTTTAGAAAGATCAGTTGGAATCTTGGTGGGAGGTGGACTGCAGTAGGGACAGACTTGAGTCACAACCAGAAGGCTTTAGCAGTAGGTGGCAGCATACGAGAGGTGTTGTGGTGATAGAACCAGAGGATTTGGCTGTTGATTGCAATTGGGGGCGGGGAGAACTGTGGGCTTCAGTGACTTGGCAGAATGATCATACTCTCAATAGTAATAGGGAAGTTAGGAAAAGGGGTAAGTTTAGGCAAAAAAAAATGTTCAGTTTTGGGACATTTTGAGCTGAAGATGTTTATAAGAGGGAGTTCTAAACGTCCTATAGGTAGTTCAAAATAATACTGAAGGTCAGAAGAGAGATTAGGGCTTGACAAATCAGAATCATAAGCATAGAGATGATAGTTGAATGCCTGGGATCTGATTAGATCATCACATGAAATGGCATAGAAGGAGGGAAGGAGCCAAGATGGGGCTATAGGGAATACCATGTTAGCAAAGGAGACTGAGAAGGAATGGTCAGACAGGTAGGAGGAGAACCATGAGAGAACATGATCATATTTGTACTTCATTCTCAAAGAGGGCCTGAATTGGATTTAAGTGAGGCAAAGCTGTGCAAAGTATCAGCCTCACTTCTCCAGGGTTATCTGAGTCCAGTGGCAAGACATAGGTCAGGATGGCTGGAGATGACTTCCAGATCCAGTGGGACCTTGGCCTTTTTAAGCTAAGGTCTTTCCCAAGTCTCAGTTTGTCTGAGGCAACACCCATTCAGTGATTTAAAGCTAAGTAAGAAAAGAGGCAAAAGAGAGAAAGCCCCATCTCAGCATACCAGGAGGAGATCCTGAAGCCCAGGTGGTGGAGCAGGCAAACACCAATACCTGGACCCCCGAGTGCCTCACTGAGGGCAGGGGAACTGGTGGAAACCAGCTCAGAAAACTACCAGGTGCCTGGGCATTCTACAGCAACCAGTGCCTCAGCATAAGGAGGAAGCAGCACTCCAAGGGGCCCCAGGCAAAAACACCCTACAACATCCATCTGAAAGGAGCTGAAGAAAGCAAAAGGAAGGAAAGGCCTGGGTGAGCAGGAAATCTCTGGGAGCCACACTACCCAATCCTACCCCTAGAGTTTCAGTATTGCTGTTTCCAGCCCAACAGCAGGTAAGCTGCCAGAATCCTACAGCCTCCAACTGCCAACATTGGAGGCCCCAGCATACAAAGCCAGTGACCAGGCCCTAGGCTCCCAACACAAGAAGCTTGAATCAGTGCCCTCTGCTCCCCAGCAGGAGAGCCCAATCTCTTTAAAGGCCAGGAAATAAGCAAACACTAAGAGAAAAAAGAAACGTGCAATAGATTCTTATTATGGGAAGAGTGAAGATCAAGGCAGAAATACTGAAGAGGACAACATTGTCAACAAACCCACATCTGGAACCTCAAAAGGGAATATGAACTGATCTGAAGCCCAAAAAGCCTTCTTGGAAGAGCTCAAGAAGGATTTTAAAAGTCAAATGAGAGAGGTAAAAGAAAAAATGGGAGAAGAAATAAGAGGTATGCAAGAGAGAGTCAATAGCTTGGAAAAGGAAGGACAGAAATTAAGTGTAGAAAACAAGTCCTTAAAAAAATACAATTGGCCAACTGGAAGAAAAGTACACTGAAGAAAACAAGTCTCTAAAAAATAAAATTGGCCAAATGGGGAAGGAGGTACAAAATCTAATAGAAGAAAACAATTTGTTAAAAATTGGAATTGAGCAAATGGAAGCTAATGACTCTAGGAGAGAGCAAGAATCAGTTAAACAAAAACAAAAGAATGAAAAAACAGATGAAAATGTAAAATATTTCATTGGTAAAACAAGCGACCTGGAAAGTCGATCCAGGAGAGACAATTTAAAAATTATTGGCCTACCTGAAAATCACGATGAAAAAAAGAGCCTGGACAGTATCTTTCAGGAAATCATAAAGGAAAACTGCCCTGAGGTCCTAGAACCAGAGGGTAAAATAGCCATAGAAAGAATCCACCAATCACCTCCTGAAAGAGATCCCAAATCGAAAACACCAAGGAATATTGTAGCCAAATTCCAAAATTACCAAGTCAAAGAGAAAATAATGCAAGCAGCCAGAAAGAAACAATTTAAATATTGTGGAACCACAATCAGGATTACACA